TTAGAAATACCAATAAATCCCATATTACATAGATTACTTTATCACGAATTAAGCTCTTTGACTTCTTATTTACTAGAAATGCATAATGAGATAAAACAATCTAATCGATACCTAAACTATTTGGTTTAGCTAATAATAAAAAAGATTTTTTTCTTGGCACAATTAGGTATTGATTCTTTCTGAGAAATTTAGTAACTAGTGACTATATTTGTGTATAGTCCAGTGGAACCGAACTAAAATGCTACCAAAAATTCTTATCCTCAAAATAATCTGACAGCAGTATACTTTACTACACTTCTTCTATTTAAAATAAATAAAATGCTTGGTATTGATATTTTACAAATTCACTCACAACTCCATGATAGATTTCTGTACTTTGAACAAACGGAATAGTGTTAAAGAAAGCGTATCTTTGCCTCTTGTTTTAAAACATGTCTATCGCTTATTTTTTACATAATCGACGATCGAATATCGATATCGAATCGACGGATCACCCGATGGTAAGCAATCAGCGCCGACCATGGACACCCGCAACGCAGGAGTTACGAGTGCGTTGCCGACCTTTTAGGGATTAGGGTTTTGTAGAGTTATATCTTGCAAAATCTGCGTCTACGTCATAGAAACTTTTATTGAAAGCCACTAAATTTGCAAATACCCTTCAAATTGTTTACCATAATCATAAAAAACAAATAATTTCATTGCAACTTAATCTATATTAAACACAATGATTGCTGTAAAGTTTAAACATTCTGTTCCCTTTTACATCTATTTCTTTTTATGCGTTGGCTTGAATCCAAGAGGTGTAGCGAGATACACGAGTGTGGACACTGGGGAAGTTGGCTTGAGCTATACCGATGCTGAACGTGAAGACACCGACAACCACGCCATTATGGTAGAGAGGACCACCAGAGTCTTCATCACAATGTCCGTTTCCATTAGTATGCCAGCCGCTACACAACATGTTATCAGTGATGGCGATGTTACGAGCCGCATAGTTGTTTCTGCATATGTTCTGGTTAATAATAACTTGCTCGATTTCATTCAAAAAGTCAGGTATAGGTCGCCTCTCATGCATATTAGTCTGAAAGAAAATATTTTCAAATTATGTTTTTGTCAAACCACAACGTCGCGTTTTTGAAACTCCAAATGGAAGAAAAATATAAGTGTACTTTCAAAATACCAATTGTTTATAAGTTAATTGGTTATAAGACATTTCTGTAAATGTTAGCCTATTCAGAAATAAATAAATTTTGAAAAAATGTATTTTAATTTTGTAATACCAGAGATCGTGGCTCCGCACATGGAAAACCGTAATTTCCGCCCCATCCAACAGCCCAGACGCTTTGGTTGTCTGCAACGTTATAGTTAGGACCTGCTATAGAAGCAGGAGTGGCTCTGTTACTGAAGGTAAAGGTTGCAGCAGAGTGCAGGATAGCAATGTTATGGTCTAAGGTTCTGGAGGTGTACAAAGGATGAATGATGAATCGGTTAACCGGGTGAGTTTGTCGGTCGTTATGAGCTGGGTGAGAAAATGAAGAGCCAATAAAAATACGCCACTGGTTAATGCTGTCACCACTGAAAAATAATAAAGAAATTATTTTGTCAAATACTATTTATATATTTTTTTGTACTATATACACTGTTTAATAATATTTTTGGAATAAACAGAGCTTATTACAAACTACTTACGCTATACAGTGAGCAGCAGTAAGAACAGATCTGTTGTTGAGAATGATGCCACCACAAGTCTGCACGAATCCATTTAGGTACGTATGCCACCTCATGAGGTTAGCCATGGAGGGAAATTTTTCAATACTAGTCGATGGTCCAGTTACCCTCTGTGAGTCAGAAGGTAGTCCTAAAAACAAAAAAGGAATAACTCGAATTCATATTTTATTGACAAACTTGACTAAAACATTTTTCTAAATGTAAATATTAAAGTAAACTTGCAAAGTCTTTCACCTACAAAGTATCAAAGAATAGTGTTTGGGTATTTTTGAAGACATTTACGGCAAACTTTCCGGTGTAACGACCCATCAAATATAAATAAAGTCTCTTTATACCTTTTTTTGTCAGGGGAAAATCATCCAATGACTTATCCCGCCCAGGGTAAGGCGAGAGAGAGTGTCAGACTCTTACTGACTAAAAACCCACCCGTTCCTTCTCCTGCTCTGGGCCGAGGTCGCGGTGCCTCATTGCGCTTACCCCGCAGCCCCGGCTAAACATCAGCCCTACTGGGCCCCGACTGTGGTGGTCCATTGGCTCTTTGAGGCGCGCTCGGAACGCTACGCGCCGTACGCTCGGGTCCGGTTCTGGTCGGGCGGCGAGCTATCCTTACTCGCCATCTGCAGACCCGCGCTTACGGTGGCCGGAGATCATCTCTCGATCTCCGACATCCGGAATGTCGCCTTCTGCGGCGGCTGGGGCGCGAGGAGGATAGTTCCCTCACGCGCTCCGCCTCCTCCTTTGCGAGCATAACTGCTTCGCTGAAGGAGGAGATGGCTTTCCAGTTCCTCTCACGCTGCACCATGACCTCGATTAAGGCCGGGCGCGAGAGGTCGCTGCCGCCGATCACTTCCCTGAGAACACGGCGGTGCTCAGCCCAAGCAGGGCACTCCGCCACCGTATGCTCCACCTTGTCCTCCAGGTGATCCTCACAATGACGACACTCGGGCGTTTCCTCCCGCTGGATCCGAAACAGGAACCTAACGAAGCTGTCATGCCCGGTAAGCACCCACGTCAGACGGAAGGTGAGGACGCCGTGGCGACTCTCAAGCCACTCCTCAAAGAGGGGTCTTACCAAGTCTCTTTATACCTAAAAGTATTACCATCAACAGATGAACATCAAACACTTACCCAGAACCAAAGCGACACAGAGTGTTAGAACAGTCAGGATGCGCATTGTGTGTTTAGTAATTATTCGGAGACAAATGGAATTCAAAATGGTCATGAAGCTATTTATACTAATTATGAAGGAGACAACGGGAAGAGCAAATTTAAATGATTTTATCTATTTCCGCAACATATCAGTTACCTTTGGACATTGATCAATGGCTAGCTAGATAATGCACAGACACCTTTGTGATTAAAGTAAGGATTCATTTTTTTTTTTTGTTTTTTATGCGTTTGTGATTTTTTAGACTTTATTTAAATATTTTTTTTTTTATAAATTAATGCATTTAGCGGCGAAAAAGAAGTGACGTGCGACAGAAATTGTCGCCAGCCTACTGATAACGTCAGATAAGTGCGTGGCAGAATGAGCTCCGGCGCGATCTCATGGTAGGGTGAAAGCAACGTGTGTCGGGAATGCTGCTATAGCAGCCACAAGACCTCCCTTAGAGGAGTGGCTTGAGAAACGCCATAGTGTCCTCACCTCCTGCCTAACGCGGGTGCTTACCGGGTACGGCAGCTTCGGAAGACATGGTTGACGCCAGGGTTATTAAGGAGATGTACTATCAGCAACGATTTGTTTGCTGCTGTTTATATTTTATACCAGCAGCCGTTATACAAAAATAATCCTTATAGCATTATTCAGTGCTCACATGCGACCGTGAGTTAAGCAAAAAATATAGACATACGAAATAAATTTGTTGATAATTTTATGTAGAATATTTCCGTCATACATAATTTCTATGTAACTTTACCCATTAAGGCTTAAAAGGGAGTAACTTCTCCCGTTTTCCAACATTTTCCTTCACTGCTTTGCTCCTATTATTTGTAGCGTGAGGAAAGGTATCCTATAACCTGTCTAGGAGTATAAAAAATAATTGTATCAAGTTGTTTTTCAAAAGTTTTTGTTTCTATAAGGAACATACAGACAGACGGACAAAAATTTTACTGATTGCATTTTTGGCATCAATATCAATCACTTATCACTAGTTTTCTGTTGTCACCTGGCAGTTATTTTGAAAATATATTTAATGTGCAGAATTGGCCTCTCTACAGAATGCTTATAAGTATAGATATTAAGATTCATTTTATCTATTATTAATGTAATGTTATCTGCCATGTATCGAATGATGTGTTAATACGGAAAAGAGTTTCAGGAGATAGCGTTTGAACCCAGAACAACTATTTCATGTAGAACTCACTTTGATTATCAACGATGAATGCAACAGACGTGTAGTTTTAAATTATATTTTACTATCAATTAATGTCATTTTATATTTTTTTGTTATTGCCATAAAGTTTCCGGATCAGATATGGTTAAATATTTAGTGCAAGGATACAGGATAACTGGTGCTGAGGATGGCCACTGGCCAGTTTTTCACCCAAAAAAGTCCCTTTTTTTGTGTCGGGTATGAAAATCCTCATGGAGACCCACCGCCTTCGGGGAAGGGCGAATGGTACTGTCAGACTCTTACTGACTAAAAACCAACCCGGTGTTTCTCCAATTTTCCATGTGTCGGAGGGGCCGAAGCATTCGTCGCAAACCCTCCGACGAGTATTGGCCCGCCAGATCGTTAGGACCGCAAAAAGTCCCTCAGATTATCAGATGCTAAGTTTTTACCGACTACGATAGGCTTTACTTAAAGAAAATCCATAACATATTTTATTTATTATTTGGTGTGTGCTTTTAATAAATACTTTTTAGCGGAATATAAATCAAAGATTTTTTCATTAATTGATTGAAACTAATTTGAAAAATGTTTTAGTAGAAGAAAACAGTTTTCATGACTTAAACTCTTGTTATTATTCTCGATTTTATTCTAAAAATTTCTTTTTTTTTTCACTTTTGTTACACACTGTGTCTTATATTTTAATTACATTTCCTGTCTCAGGTCTACTGGAAGAAATTCCAACAGGAATAAGTAGCACCTTTGTACTCTTATTATTTATGTATTTTCCTCTGTGCTGTTTGTGTGTACATAAATTATTAAATAAATAAATAAATAAAAATATGCATTATTTTAGGTACACTTTAGTCAGGGATTTCTTGTATTTATAATAAAAGAGAGGTATATTTCAATTGGCTAATTTATTGTTAGAATTTTAGTCACCTATTTGGCGAGAAATACTAAAAAGACACATATTATTTAGGCATTTGATGATATCCAGGAGGTGTAACTAGAAATGCGAGTATTAATTCCTGGGTAGTTAGCTTCGCCGCATCCCAGACTGAAAGAGTAGACACCAACAACGGCACCGTTGTGGTAGAGGGGGCCACCAGCGTCGCCCTGACACTGGCCACGACCTCCAAAGTTCCAGCCAGCACACACTACGTTGTCAGTAATAGTGACACCCCAGTTAGCGTAGTTGTTTCTGCAAGTGTTCTGGCTGATAGTCTCAAGCTGGACGTGACGGAGCTGCTCAGACCCGGAGCTTGAACCTTGCTAAATAAACAGATATAAACAAACTTAATAAACATCCCACAACAAGCCATGTTGACTGTAGGGAAGAATACATCTGACAACCGACTGGTAAGAACCGATTTGTTCAGGGACTAAATATTTGATAGCGACAGAAAAGCACCGGTCTTACATTAACCTGTCACCTGGCAAACACTGCTTCTAATTACTGTGACTTTTACCCATCTTATGAAGCTTTTAAATTTGGACAATGCCTCATACAAACACAAAACTTTAAGTCCAACAGAAAGAGGTCAGCCCGTTAATGCTTACAAAATTACGGAACCCACGTATTTTTAATTTTTTAGAACTCAAATATATGAAACTTACGTTCGTGACGCCCCATCCAGCCGCCCAAACGTATCTATTTTCAGGAAGGTGATAGTTTGAGCCAGCGATGCTTGCAGCTCGAGCTGCGTTGTTAAAGGAGAATGCAGTAGCGGAGCGCAGTATAGCGATGTCGTTATCCAAGGTGTCAGCGTTGAATGATGGATGAATAATGTGCTGATTTGAATTGTAAACAGCACCACCACTGTTAGCGAAAACGGAACCAATACGAATGCGCCATCTGCCAACTTCATCGTCGCTATAAAAGACATTATTTTTCTTTACGAACGATACAATATTATTGTTTTACTAAAAATCAAAAAGAGTAATTGAGTTTCCCATTTTAGGACAAATAATTGTAAATTTATAGGACATATAATATTTTAGGCTTGCTTTTTTGGATACTGAGTGCCCTGTAAAAAATCGAATTAGAGGAAACAGTGACATTTAATATTTGCTAGCTATCCTTTCGTGTATCCAATTTGTGATGTTTTATTTTGCACTTGCTGTTGTACTAAAATATTACTATTCACACCATTTATATTATGATGAAGATGTTAAAACTTACGCAATGCAATGGGCAGCTGTTAAGATGGATCTGTTGTTGAGGATGGTGCCAACACACACTTGCGTGTACTGGCTCCAGTTCGGTGTGTAGAGGAGGGAAGCAACGCTGGGATAGCGGGCAATATTATGACCACCCGCAATCCTCTGGGAATTCGTGGGGACGGCTGAAAAGATAACATTGTATAATGGTTTTCTTTTCTAGCTTCAAGCTTCTGTACTCAATTGTTCAACGCGTGTTTGTAATACACTGTATGGGAAGTATTAATACATTTTCGAAAACACACACACACACATTTATACATGAAATAACATTTTTTGATTACAATTTAAACACCACCTTGTCAAAAGTACAATTTGAATAGAAGAATCATTTAGTTTTACAGTAACTGTATCATCACGCAACCAACTTTAAATTCTTCCAAAATGAACTTTGATGAATTTTGAGTAAACCTGAGAAATCGTTTATATCAAAATTAAAAGGAGCGAGTAATATTATAAAAGCAATAGTTCAACATTTGACGGTTAAATAAAAAATAAAAACAGCGCATACCCGCAACCGCTGCAATGCAAATAGTCAGGATAGTTATGACACGCATGGTGGAACTTGCAGCAACTGCTTAATGCCGAATCTTACTTTTCATTTATATACTTACTCCGTGTGATTAAATATATTCCCGTGAATAGGAAATGAGTTCGTCATATTTTAATCAACTATTTGAATTACCAATAAATCCCATATTACATAGATTACTTTATCACGAATTAAGCTCTTTGACTTCTTATTTACTAGAAATGCATAACGAGATAAAACAATCTAATCGACAACTAAACTATTTGGTTTAGCTAATAATAAAAAAGATTTTTTTCTTGGCACAATTAGGTATTGATTCTTTCTGAGAAATTTAGTAACTAGTGACTATATTTGTGTATAGTCTAGTGGAACCGAACTAAAATGCTACCAAAAATTCTTATCCTCAAAATAATCTGACAGCAGTATACTTTACTACACTTCTTCTATTTAAAATAAATAAAATGCTTGGTATTGATATTTTACAAATTCACTCACAACTCCATGATAGATTTCTGTACTTTGAACAAACGGAATAGTGTTAAAGAAAGCGTATCTTTGCCTCTTGTTTTAAAACATGTCTATCGCTTATTTTTTACATAATAGTAAATCGGTCGGCAAACGAGCAGACGGATCACCCGATGGTAAGCAATCAGCGCCGACCATGGACACCCGCAACGCAGGAGTGACGAGTGCGTTGCCGACCTTTTAGGGATTAGGGTTTTGTAGAGTTATATCTTGCAAAATCTGCGTCTACGTCATAGAAACTTTTATTGAAAGCCACTAAATTTGCAAATACCCTTCAAATTGTTTACCATAATCATAAAAAACAAATAATTTCATTGCAACTTAATCTATATTAAACACAATGATTGCTGTAAAGTTTAAACATTCTGTTCCCTTTTACATCTATTTCTTTTTATGCGTTGGCTTGAATCCAAGAGGTGTAGCGAGATACACGAGTGTGGACACTGGGGAAGTTGGCTTGAGCTATACCGATGCTGAACGTGAAGACACCGACAACCACACCATTATGGTAGAGAGGACCACCAGAGTCTTCATCACAATGTCCGTTTCCATTAGTATGCCAGCCGCTACACAACATGTTATCAGTGATGGCGATGTTACGAGCCGCATAGTTGTTTCTGCATATGTTCTGGTTAATAATAACTTGCTCGACTTCATTCAAAAAGTCAGGTATAGGTCGTCTCTCATGCATATTAGTCTGAAAGAAAATATTTTCAAATTATGTTTTTGTCAAACCACAACGTCGCGTTTTTGAAACTCCAAATGGAAGAAAAATATAAGTGTACGGTCAAAATACCAATTGTTTATAAATTAATTGGTTATAAGACATTTCTGTAAATGTTAGCCTATTCAGAAATAAATAAATTTTGAAAAAATGTATTTTAATTTTGTAATACCAGAGATCGTGGCTCCGCACATGGAAAACCGTAATTTCCGCCCCATCCAACAGCCCAGACGCTTTGGTTGTCTGCAACGTTATAGTTAGGACCTGCTATAGAAGCAGGAGTGGCTCTGTTACTGAAGGTAAAGGTTGCAGCAGAGTGCAGGATAGCAATGTTATGGTCTAAGGTTCTGGAGGTGTACAAAGGATGAATGATGAATCGGTTAACCGGGTGAGTTTGTCGGTCGTTATGAGCTGGGTGAGAAAATGAAGAGCCAATAAAAATACGCCACTGGTTAATGCTGTCACCACTGAAAAATAATAAAGAAATTATTTTGTCAAATACTATTTATATATTTTTTTGTACTATATACACTGTTTAATAATATTTTTGGAATAAACAGAGCTTATTACAAACTACTTACGCTACACAGTGAGCAGCAGTAAGAACAGATCTGTTGTTGAGAATGATGCCACCACAAGTCTGCACGAATCCATTTAGGTACGTATGCCACCTCATGAGGTTAGCCATGGAGGGAAATTTTTCAATACTAGTCGATGGTCCAGTTACCCTCTGTGAGTCAGAAGGTAGTCCTAAAAACAAAAAAGGAATAACTCGAATTCATATTTTATTGAGAAACTTGACTAAAACATTTTTCTAAATGTAAATATTAAAGTAAACTTGCAAAGTCTTTCACCTACAAAGTATCAAAGAATAGTGTTTGGGTATTTTTGAAGACATTTACGGCAAACTTTCCGGTGTGACGACCCATCAAATATAAATAAAGTCTCTTTATACCTTTTTTTGTCAGGGGAAAATCATCCAATGACTTCTCCCGCCCAGGGTAAGGCGAGAGAGAGTGTCAGACTCTTACTGACTAAAAACCCACCCGTTCCTTCTCCTGCTCTGGGCCGAGGTCGCGGTGCCTCATTGCGCTTACCCCGCAGCCCCGGCTAAACATCAGCCCTACTGGGCCCCGACTGTGGTGGTCTATTGGCTCTTTGAGGCGCGCTCGGAACGCTACGCGCCGTACGCTCGGGTCCGGTTCTGGTCGGGCGGCGAGCTACCCTTACTCGCCATCCGCAGACCCGCGCTTACGGTGGCCGGAGATCATCTCTCGATCTCCGACGTCCGGAATGTCGCCTTCTGCGGCGGCTGGGGCGCGAGGAGGATAGTTCCCTCACGCGCTCCGCCTCCTCCTTTGCGAGCATAACTGCTTCGCTGAAGGAGGAGATAGCTTTCCAGTTCCTCTCACGCTGCACCATGACCTCGATTAAGGCCGGGCGCGAGAGGTCGCTGCCGCCGATCACTTCCCTGAGAACACGGCGGTGCTCAGCCCAAGCAGGGCACTCCGCCACCGTATGCTCCACCTTGTCCTCCAGGTGATCCTCACAATGACGACACTCGGGCGTTTCCTCCCGCTGGATCCGAAACAGGAACCTAACGAAGCTGTCATGCCCGGTAAGCACCCACGTCAGACGGAAGGTGAGGACGCCGTGGCGACTCTCAAGCCACTCCTCAAAGAGGGGTCTTACCAAGTCTCTTTATACCTAAAAGTATTACCATCAACAGATGAACATCAAACACTTACCCAGAACCAAAGCGACACAGAGTGTTAGAACAGTCAGGATGCGCATTGTGTGTTTAGTAATTATTCGGAGACAAATGGAATTCAAAATGGTCATGAAGCTATTTATACTAATTATGAAGGAGACAACGGGAAGAGCAAATTTAAATGATTTTATCTATTTCCGCAACATATCAGTTACCTTTGGACATTGATCAATGGCTAGATAGATAATGCACAGACACCTTTGTGATAAAAGTAAGGATTCATTTTTTTTTTGTTTTTTATGCGTTTGTGATTTTTTAGACTTTATTTAAATATTTTTTTTTATAAATTAATGCATTTAGCGGTTAAAAAGAAGTGACGTGCGACAGAAATTGTCGCCAGCCTACTGATAACGTCAGATAAGTGCGTGGCAGAATGAGCTCCGGCGCGATCTCATGGTAGGGTGAAAGCAACGTGTGTCGGGAATGCTGCTATAGCAGCCACAAGACCTCCCTTAGAGGAGTGGCTTGAGAAACGCCATAGTGTCCTCACCTCCTGCCTAACGCGGGTGCTTACCGGGTACGGCAGCTTCGGAAGACATAATTTCTATGTAACTTTACCCATTAAGGCTTAAAAGGGAGTAACTTCTCCCGTTTTCCCAACATTTCCCTTCACTGCTTTGCTCCTATTATTTGTAGCGTGAGGAAAGGTATCCTATAACCTGTCTAGGAGTATAAAAAATAATTGTATCAAGTTGTTTTTCAAAAGTTTTTGTTTCTATAAGGAACATACAGACAGACGGACAAAAATTTTACTGATTGCATTTTTGGCATCAATATCAATCACTTATCACTAGTTTTCTGTTGTCACCTGGCAGTTATTTTGAAAATATATTTAATGTGCAGAATTGACCTCTCTACAGAATGCTTATAAGTAGTATAGATATTAAGATTCATTTTATCTATTATTAATGTAATGTTATCTGCCATGTATCGAATGATGTGTTAATACGGAAAAGAGTTTCAGGAGATAGCGTTTGAACCCAGAACAACTATTTCATGTAAGTAGAACTCACTTTGATTATCAACGATGAATGCAACAGACGTGTAGTTTTAAATTATATTTTACTATCAATTAATGTCATTTTATATTTTTTTGTTATTGCCATAAAGTTTCCGGATCAGATATGGTTAAATATTTAGTGCAAGGATACAGGATAACTGGTGCTGAGGATGGCCACTGGCCAGTTTTTCACCCCAAAAAGTCCCTTTTTTTGTGTCGGGTATGGAGACCCACCGCCTTCGGGGAAGGGCGAATGGTACTGTCAGACTCTTACTGACTAAAAACCAACCCGGTGTTTCTCCAATTTTCCATGTGTCGGAGGGGCGGGCATCGCCGAAGCATTCGTCGCAAAACCTCCGACGAATATTGGCCCGCCAGATCGTTAGGACCGCAAAAAGTCCCTCAGATTATCAGATGCAGATCCCTTTATTCAGATTTTTAAGTTTTTACCGACTACGATAGGCTTTACTTTTAGCGGAATATAAATCAAAGATTTTTTCATTAATTGATTGAAACTAATTTGAAAAATGTTTTAGTAGAAGAAAACAGTTTTCATGACTTAAACTCCTGTTATTATTCTCGATTTTGTTCTAAAAATTTCTTTTTTTTTTCACTTTTGTTACACACTGTGCCTTATATTTTAATTACATTTCCTGTCTCAGGTCTACTGGAAGAAATTCCAACAGGAATAAGTAGCACCTTTGTACTCTTAGTTTTTTATGTATTTTCCTCTGTGCTGTTTGTGTGTACAAAAATTATTAAATAAATAAATAAATAAATAAATAAAAATATGCATTATTTTAGGTATACTTTAGTTAGGGGTTTCTTGTATTTATAATAAAAGAGAGGTATATTTCAATTGGCTAATTTATTGTTAGAATTTTAGTCACCTATTTGGCGAGAAATACGAAAAAAGACACGTATTATTTAGGCATTTGATGATATCCAGGAGGTGTAACTAGAAATGCGAGTATTAATTCCTGGGTAGTTAGCTACACCGCATCCCAGACTGAAAGAGTAGACACCAACAACGGCACCGTTGTGGTAGAGGGGGCCACCAGCGTCGCCCTGACACTGGCCACGACCTCCAAAGTTCCAGCCAGCACACACTACGTTGTCAGTTATAGTGACACCCCAGTTAGCGTAGTTGTTTCTGCAAGTGTTCTGGTTGATAGTCTCAAGCTGGACGTGACGGAGCTGCTCAGATCCGGAGCTTGAACCTTGCTAAATAAACAGATAAAAACAAACTTAATAAACATTCCATAACAAGCTATGTTGACTGTAGAGAAAAATACATCTGACAACCAACTGGTAAGTACCGATTTGTTCAGGGACTAAATATTTGATAGCGACAGAAAAGCACCGCTCTTAGATTAACCTATAACCTGGCAAACACTGCTTTTAATTACTGTGATTTTTACCCATCTTATGAAGCTTTTAAGTTAGGACAAAGCCTCATACAAAAAACTTTAAGTCCAACAGAAAGAGGTCAACCCGTTTATGCTTACAAAATTACGGTACCTAGATATTTTAAATTTTTTGGAACTCAAACATATGAAACTTACGTTCGTGACGCCCCATCCAGCCGCCCAAACGTATCTATTTTCAGGAAGGTGATAGTTTGAGCCAGCGATGCTTGCAGCTCGAGCTGCGTTGTTAAAGGAGAATGCAGTAGCGGAGCGCAGTATAGCTATGTCGTTGTCCAAGGTGTCAGCGTTGAATGATGGATGAATAATGTGCTGATTTGAATTGTAAACAGCACCACCACTGTTAGCGAAAACGGAACCAATACGAATGCGCCATCTGCCAACTTCATCGTCGCTATAAAAATATAAAAATATTATTTTTCTTTACGAACGATACAATATTATTGTTTTACTAAAAATCAAAAAGAGTAATTGAGTTTCCCATTTTAGGACAAATAATTGTAAATTTATAGGACATATAATATTTTAGGCTTGCTTTTTTGGATACTGAGTGCCCTGTAAAAAATCGAATTAGAGGAAACAGTGACATTTAATATTTGCTAGCTATCCTTTCGTGTATCCAATTTGTGATGTTATATTTTGAACTTGCTGTTGTTCTAAAATATTACTATTCACATCAGATACATTATCATATAGATGTTTAAAACTTACGCAATGCAATGGGCAGCTGTTAAGATGGATCTGTTGTTGAGGATGGTGCCAACACACAGTTCGGTGTGTAGAGGAGGGAAGCAACGCTGGGATAGCGGGCAATGCTGGTATTATGACCACCCGCAATCCTCTGGGAATTCGTGGGGACGGCTGAAAAGATAACATTGTTTAATGGTTTTCTTTTCTAGCTTCAAGCTTCTTTACTGAATTGTTAAACGCGTGTTTGTAATACACTGTATGGGAAGTATTAATACATTTTCGAAAACACACACACACATTTATACATGAAATAACATTTTTTGATTACAATTTAAAGACCACCTTGTCAAAAGTACAATTTGAAAAGAAGAATCATTTGGTTTTACAGTAACTGTATCATCACGCAACCAACTTTAAATTCTTCCAAAATGAACTTTGATGAATTTTGAGTAAACCTGAGAAATCGTTTATATCAAAATTAAAAGGAGCAAGTAATATTATAAAAGCAATAGTTCAACATTTGACTGTAAAATAAAAAATAAAAACAGCGCATACCCGCAACCGCTGCAATGCAAATAGTCAGGATAGTTATGACACGCATGGTGGAACTTGCAGCAACTGCTTAATGCCGAATCTTACTTTTCATTTATATACTTGCTCCGTGTGATTAAATATATTCCCGTGAATAGGAAATGACTTCGTCATTTTTTAATCAACTATTAGAAATACCAATAAATCCCATATTACATAGATTACTTTATCACGAATTAAGCTCTTTGACTTCTTATTTACTAGAAATGCATAACGAGATAAAACAATCTAATCGACAACTAAACTATTTGGATTAGTTTATAATAAAAAAGAAATTTTTCTTGGCACAATTAGGTATTGATTCTTTCTGAGAAATTGAGTAACTATTTGAGTATTGTCCAGTGGAACCGAACTAAAATGCTGCCAAAAATTCTTATCTTCGTAACAATCTGCCAGAAGTATACTTCTCTACACTTCTTCTATTTAAAATTAATAAAATGCTTGGTATTGATATTTTACCAATTCACTCACAACTCCGTGATAGAATTCTGTACTTTGAACAAACGGAATAGTGTTAAAGAAAGCGTATCTTTGCCTCTTGTTTTAAAACATGTCTATCGCTTCTTTTGTATATACCTATAATAGCAAATTTTGTCATCTACCTTTTTATGGTATATGTAGATCGGCAAACGAGCAGACGGATTACCTGATGGTAAGCAATCAGCGCCGCTTATAGACACAGAAAATGGAGGAGTTACGAGTGCGTTGCCGACCTTTTAGGGATTAGGGTTTTGGAGATTTAGGGTTTTTTTTTTAATAACGACTGCGTGCAATATTTGCCAGCAAGACACGTATGTACTCTTTTTGTTTTTATATAAGCTTCAAACATTGTTTAGTCTATTAATTTTCACCGTAAGTGCTCAATGTCAACATTTCATGTTCACGTCATAGAAACTTTTATTGAAAGTCACAAATTTGCAAATACCCTTCAAATTGTTTACCATAATCATAAAAAACAAATAATTTCATTGCAACTTAATCTATATTAAACACAATTATTGCCGTAAAGTTAAAACATTCTGTTCCCTTTTACATCTATTTCTTTTTATGCGTTGGCTTGAATCCAAGAGGTGTAGCGAGATACACGAGTGTGGACACTGGGGAAGTTGGCTTGAGCTATACCGATGCTGAACGTGAAGACACCGACAACCACACCATTATGGTAGAGAGGACCACCAGAGTCTTCATCACAATGTCCGTTTCCATTAGTATGCCAGCCGCTACACAACATGTTATCAGTGATGGCGATGTTACGAGCCGCATAGTTGTTTCTGCATACATTCTGGTTAATAATAACTTGCTCGACTTCATTCAAAAAGTCAGGTATAGGTCGCCGCTCATGCACATTAGTCTGAAAGAAAATATTTTCAAATTATGTTTTTGTCAAACCACAACGTTGCGTTTTTTAAACTCCAAATGGAAGAAAAATATAGGTGTACGGTCAAAATACCAATTGTTTATAAGTTAATTGGTTATAAGACATTTCTGCAAATGTTAGCCTATTCACAAATAAATAAATTTCGAATGAATGTATTTCAATTTTGTAATACCAGAGATCGTGGCTCCGCACATTGAAAACCGAAATTTTGGCCCCATCCAACAGCCCAGACGCTTTGGTTGTCTGCAACGTTATAGTTAGGACCTGCTATAGAAGCAGGACTGGCTCTGTGACTGAAGGTAAAGGTTGCAGCAGAGTGCAGGATAGCAATGTTATGGTCTAAGGTTCTGGAGCTGTACAAAGGATGAATGATGAATCGGTTGACCGGGTGAATTTGCCGATCGCCTAGAAAAGGGTGTGAAAATGCAGAGCCAATAAAGATGCGCCACTGGTCAGTGCTGTCACCACTGAAAAAATATACAGGAATTATTTTATCAAGTTAAGATAAGAATATTTTTTTAACAGAGTTTATAACAAAGTACATACGCTATACAGTGAGCAGCAGTAAGAACCGATCTGTTGTTGAGAATGATGCCACCACAATTCTGCACGAATCCATTTAGGTACGTATGCCACCTCATGAGGTTAGCCATGGAGGGAAATTTATCAATACTAGTCATTGGTCCAGTTACCCTCTGTGAATCAGAAGGTAGTCCTAAAACATAAAAAAGGAGTAACTAGAATTCATATTTTATTGACAAACTTGACAAAAAACGTTTTCCTAAATGTAAATATTAAAGTAAACTTGCAAAGTCTTCAACTACAAAGTATCTAAAAATAGTGTTTGGGTATTTTTGAAGACATTTATGGCAAACTTTCTAGTGTGACGACCCATTCAATATCTCTTAATACCTTAAAGTATTACCATCAGCAGATGAACGTGAATCACTTACCCAGAACCAAAGGGACACAGAGTGTTAGAACAGTCAGGATGCGCATTGTGTGTTTAGTAATCATTCGGGGACAAGTGGAATTCAAAATGGTCATGAAGCTATTTATACTAAATATGAAGGAGACAACGGGAAGAGCAAAATTAAATGATTTTATCTATTTCCGCAACATATCAGTTACCTTTGGACATTGATCAAAAGCTAGCTAGATAATGCACAGACACCTTTGTGATAAAACTAAGGATTCTTTTTTTTTTGTTTTTTATGCGTTTGTGATTTTTTTTGACTTCATTTCAATATTTTATTTATAACGTGCGACAATTTTTGTCGCACGTCACTAATAATATTCAACATACTGACTGAATGGTATAAACAAACTTGTGGTTTGAAAGGAATGATTATAATTTCATCATCATCATCATCATCAGCCGGAAGACGTCCACTGCTGACAAAGGCCTCCTTAGCTCTCCACGTCGAACGACAAGTTGCCACCTGCATCCATTGGCTCCCCGCGACTCTGACGATGTCGTGGCGGCCTGCCCACACTACGTTTTCCGGTCCTTGGTCGCAACCCTAGCACTTTTCGGGCCCATCCGTCAGTGGACCGTCCGTCTTTCAGGCGACGTGGCCTGCCCATTGCCATTTTAGCCTGCAGATTTTAGACTTTGGTTCTTTGGCGAATTTCCACATTTCGCCAAAGAACCAAGTCGCGTGCTGAGCGACGCTGAGTTCGGCAAGAAGGCCAGAAGTTAAGGACCATGTCTCAGTGCCATACGTCATCACCGGCACCATACACTGGTTAAACATCCTGGTCTTCAGGCACTGTGGGATTTTTGATGAGAAGACATCATGTAACGTCCCTTGCATAAAACCTATTCTATTATATTATTATTTTATACAGCGTCTCCTCGAGCGCGGCAGCCGTTATACAAAAATAATCCTTATAGCATGATTCAGTGTTCACATGCGACCGTGAGTTAACCATAAAATATAGACATACGAAATAAATTTGTTGATAATTTTATGTACAATATTTCCGTCATACATAATTTTTATGTAACTTTAACCATTAAGGCTTAAAAGGGAGTAACTTCTCCCGTTTTCCCAACATTTCCCTTCACTACTCTGCTCCTATTATTTGTAGCGTGATGAAAGGTATCCTATAACCAGTCTAGGAGTATAAAGAATAATTGTATCAAGTTTTTTTTTTAAAGTTTTTGTTTCTATAGGTAAGGAACATACAGACGGACAGATAAAAATTTTACTGATTGCATTTTTGGCATCAGCTATCACCGCCTAGTAGTTATTTTGAAACTATATTTAATGTGCAGAATTGGCCTCTCTACAGATTTATTATAAGTATAGATATTAAGATTCATTTAATCTATTATTAATGTAATGTTATCTACCATGTATCAAATGATGTGTTAATACGGAAAAGAGTTTCCGGAGATAGCGTTTGAACCCAGAACAACTCACTTTGATTCTCAACGATGAATGCAACAGACGTGTAGTTTTAAATTATATTTTTTTGTTAGTGCCTTAAAGTTTCCGGATCAGATATGTCTAAATACTTGGTGCAAGGATACATGATAACTGGTGCTGAGGATGGCCACTGAAGTGGTTCGTGTATGGTAAAAGTTTCACACTCCCTAGTTTTTCACCCCAAAAAAGTCCTTTTTTTTGTGTCGCTTTGGAAAATTCTCATGGAGACCCACCGCCCTCGGGGCAGGGCGAAGGGTACTGTCAGACTCTTACTGACTAAAAACCAACCCGGTGTTTCTCCAACTTCCCATGTGTCGGTGGGGCGGATATCGCCGAAGCATTCGTCGCAACCGACGAGTATTGGCCCGCCAGATCGTTAGGACCCCAAAAAGTCCCTCAGATTATCAGATCCCTTTATTCAGATTTTTAAGTTTTTACCGACTATTTTATTTATTATTTGGTGTTTGCTTTTAATAAATACTTTTTAGCGGAATATAAATCAAAGACTTTTTTATTAATTGATTGAAACTAATTTGAAAAATGTTTTGGTAGAAGAAAATAGTTTTCATGACTTATTGCTACAAAACTCTATTTATTATTCTCGAGTTTGTTCTAAAAATATGCATTATTTTAGGTAAATACTTTAGTCAGGGATTTCTTGTATTTATAATAAAAGAGAGGTAGGTATATTTCAATTGGCTGATTTATTGTTAGAATTCCGTCACCTCTTTGGCGAGAAATACGAAAAAAGACACATATTATTTAGGCATTTGATGATATCCAGGAGGTGTAACTGGAAATGCGAGTATTAATTCCTGGGTAGTTAGCTACACCGCATCCCAGGCTGAAAGAGTAGACACCAACAACGGCACCATTGTGGTAGAGGGGGCCACCAGCGTCGCCCTGACACTGGCCACGACCTCCAAAGTTCCAGCCAGCACACACTACGTTGTCAGTAATAGTGACACCCCAGTTAGCGTAGTTGTTTCTGCAAGTGTTCTGGCTGATAGTCTCAAGCTGGACGTGACGGAGCTGCTCAGACCCGGAGCTTGAACCTTGCTAAATAAACAGATATAAACAAACTTAATAAACTTTCCATAACAAGCCATGTTGACTGTAGGGAAGAATACATCTAACAACCGACCGGTAAGAACCGACTTGTTCAGGGACTAAATATTTGATAGCGACAGAAAAGCACCGGTTTTAGATTAACCTGTCACCTGGCAAACACTGCTTCTAATTACTGTGATTTCTACCCATCTTATGAAGCTTTTAAATTAGGACAAAGCCTCATACAAAAACAAAACTTGAAGTCCAACAGAAAGAGGTCAGCCCGTTAATGCTTACAAAATTACGGAACCCACGTATTTTTAATTTTTTGGAACTCAAACATATGAAACTTACGTTCGTGACGCCCCATCCAGCCGCCCAAACGTATCTATTTTCAGGAAGGTGATAGTTTGAGCCAGCGATGCTGGCAGCTCGAGCTGCGTTGTTAAAGGAGAAAGCAGTAGCGGAACGCAGTATAGCTATGTCGTTTTCCAAGGTGTCAGCGTTGAATGAGGGATGAATAATGTGCTGATTTGAATTGTAAACAGCACCACCACTGTTAGCGAAAACGGAACCAATACGAATGCGCCATCTGCCAACTTCGTCGTCGCTATAAATACATATAAAAAAATATTATTTTTCTTTACGTACGTTACAATATTATTGTTTTGCTAAAAATCAAACTCGACTTTTTAGATTTCGAGTAATTGAGTTTCAAATTTTCCCACTTTAGAACAATTATTTTTTAGGCCTTAATATATTTCAGGCTTGCTTTATTGGATACTAAGTCCTCTTTAAAAAACAAAACTAGAGGAAACAGTGACATATAATATTTACTAACTAACTCTTTCACGAATCAAAAATGTGATGTTATTTAGCGTATGCTCTTGTACAAAAATATTACTATTTACACCATTTATATTATGATGAAGATGTTAAAACTTACGCAATGCAATGGGCAGCCGTTAAGATGGATCTGTTGTTGAGGATGGTGCCAACACACACTTGCGTGTATTGGCTCCAGTTCGGTGTGTAGAGGAGGGAAGCAACGCTGGGATAGCGGGCAATGCTGGTATTATGACCACCCGCAATCCTCTGGGAATTCGTGGGGACGGCTGAAAAGATAACATTGTACAACGTTTTTCTTTTGAAGTTCTTAAACCTTCAAGCTTCTTTACTTTAGTGTAAAACGCGTGTTACTTTTACAATGTTAAGAATTCTTAGTCAAAATTACAAACTGAAATTAGAATTTTTGAATGTAGAATTACTAAACATCAAAAACAAAATAGGTCTACAATACTGGACTCATTATGCGAAAAAGTTGAGAGAGTTTAAAATGTGTAAAAAAAAATTGTAAGTATTTTGTGTGTAAACCTGGGAATTTATTAACATCACTTCAATTAAACTTGAGAATTCGTTAATATCACTTCAAGGAATCTTTTAATAGTAATAGGTTAGTTTTTACGGTAAAATTAAAATTTAAAAAGTTCATACCCGCAACCGCTGCAACGCAAATAGCTAGGATAGTTATGACACGCATGGTGGAACTTGCTCAGCAACTGCTTAATGGCCGAATCTTACTTTTCATTTATATACTGACTCCGATTGATTAAAAATATTTCCCGAGAGTAGGATATGACTTTGTAGTTTCTTAATCAACTACTTGAATTGCCAATTAATCCCATATTACACTGATTATTTTATCACAAACTAAGCTCTTTGACTACTTATTTACTAGAAATGCATAATGAGATAAAATAATCTTATCGATGCCTAAACAAACAGTGACCGTATTTGTTTTACAATTTGGTCCAATTTCAAATGACAAAAATTCTTAACAGTCTAATACTATTGAATTACTTTGATTGCGTTAAATATTTAATCGATTTATCGAACAACGGAGGTTATGTAGTGTATCTTGCTTGTCATACTCCTTCATTTGTCTGAAATGACTGGCTGGTTTTGTGAAGGCAATAAACCTCTTTTGGTTGTAATGAATTTCGTCATAAAGTTATCAAGGCTTAACATGAAACAAATCTATATTGAAGCCAACACCAACGCTAATATCATTGTTTCTCAAATTTGGATTTTGCCAAGAGCAGTCATGTTTATTGTGTAATTATGAAATAAGAAGTTGTAAAAGTTTACCTATTTTTGTAATTCGACATAGAGTCTCTGTCACCCTATTTAAAAAAAAATTAAGGTACTGTCCAAGTTTCCTACATCATCATCATCAGCCTATAAGTGCCCACTGCTGAGCTAAGGCCTCTTCTCATACGGAGAAGGTAAGAGCATTAATCACCATGCTTGCTTAAGACAGATTGGCAATTTCAAGCTAAAAATTTGAAATGACAAGTCCAGGCTTTTTCTTCACCATGTGTCAGTGTTGTCTACATAATCATATTAAGTATAGAGAAGCGGTCTCCTTATCCTTCGGGCCACCACGACCAATTTCCTGCATACCAACATTATTCTATATACCTAAGTATGTGAATATATTATGTTTAACCATGAATTCCTTTAACAACAATGAAATTCAAATTTTCAACATTAGCTACTGTAATCATTGCTAATATTTATCAAAACAGTAATAATAATCAATTTCGCTATTCATTCCAACAATACTGCGTTTTAAGAGATTGAGATACGAGTATGTATAAAAATAAATAAAACCGTTTAATAAACAGAAATCAAAAGATTAAATATTTGGCAAAAAAAATTGATACAGATTTTCCTCGTTAACTAATCTGTATTATTAGTTTGAAGTTGGAGATTAGAAAATGACGGAGTCATTCACTTTCGCGCAGATCATTTTAATCAATCTAGTTTCATACAAATATCGCTAATTTATAAAGAAAAGTCACAGTTGTAAACTATTATTACTAGAAATAACACAATGCAAGCCATATCCATCTTAGCAATTTGCGTCGCGTCTGTCGCAAGTAAGTGATTATAAATTTAAAAACTAGTTCTGATGCTCGTTCAAATCGGTAAGTGTACTTGACCGAAATGATACCTCTCGCGCCCGGCCTCAGTCGAGGCCATGGTGCGGAGTGAGAGGAACTGGGACGCCGTCTCCTCCTTCTGTGAAGCAGTTATGCTCGCAAAGAGGGAGGTGGCCCGCGTGAGGGAGCAATCCTCCTCCTCACGCCCCAGCCGCCGCAACAGGCGACATTCCGGGCGTCGGGGATCGAGAGACGATCTCCGGCCACCGTAAGCGCGGGTCTGCGGTCGACAAGTAAGGGCAGCTCGTGCTCGGCCAGAACCAGGTCCGAGCGTGCGCGTGGGAGCCAATAGACCACCACAGACGGGGCCCTATAGGGCTGATGTTCAGCCGGGGTTGCGGGGTAAGCGCAATGAGGCACCGCGACCTCGGCCGAGAGCAGGAGAAGGAACAGGGGGGTTTTTAGTCAGTAAGAGTCTGACACTCCCTCCCGCCCGGCCCTGGGCGGGAGAAGTCATTTGATGATTTTCCCCTCACAAAAAAAACCAATCTCGTAGATAATTGGCATGACACAACGCTTGCGTTGGGTTCCGGTGTGTGAGTACTCCACATCCCGAATCCTCCGATTGCAAAATTCCTTATAGGCCAGCAATTTACTAGTCACTCATTTTTTTGTTACAGAGCCAATTGTTTACCATCAGGTGGTCCGACTTCTATTGTACCTATGCTTTCTATACTTCCAGTTACATCTTTACCTTTGATTTATACTTATTAACTCTGATTGAGTATTATTCCAAATATTTGCTGACACTACAGTGTTAACCAAAACATTTTGCGGGTTACTCACGTGCATATATTGAGAAAAGCTCTACTACGTCGTGCAGCCTACTGCGCGACGTTGCCGCGTCCGCGCACGCTGCTCATGAGGAAGGACCCCTCTGTGGTTCGAAACTAGTAGAGCTTTTCTCAATATACGCACGTGAGTAACCCGCAAATTTTTTTGGTTAATTTAGTATGTCTCACGATAGTTATTATAAAAACTACAGTGTTTCTTCAAAAAAATGTGATCTTGGACAGCGAAATCCTACACAAATAGTGGCACACTATGTTAGGGGCTCTCATGAATGTGGTGCAAATTTAAAAGTGATAAAAGTCCAAATTTATGATACAAGACAAATAAAAATTGTTCCATCTTTTACGTTACATTCTATGTTTAAAGACATACATAGGTACGTAGATTTCCAACCGTCCCTTTAAATTCCTAAAGGATTGTAGGGGGTTACGTTATCAGCATTGGTATATACTCCAGCATTGCTGCCCTCCTGTACTCATGGAACTGGAATCTTGTAGTGGCACCAACATAAACAATAGATCAAATTTTTTTAATATAATTACGCACAAATACCATTTTTATAAAAAAAATATAATAGTTACTTTTAAAACAGGAGTGGTGAAATAGGCCTTTGGCGAATATGGCCGGTTTTATTTAACGGTTTGACATAAAGGGCTTCTTAAAAAGCTACCTTCCTATGGGCTTCCCGAGAAACTGTGTAAATGGGTATCCAACTTCCTTGCAGATAAAAGCATAAAGGTCGCGATTGACGGTGAATGCTCTGATTGCTTGCCTGTGAACGCTGGCGTGCCTCAAGGCTGCGTACTATCGCCCACTCTGTTCCTCCTCCATATCAATGATATGTTGCAAATTAGTGGCATTCATTGTTATGCGGATGACAGCACGAGCGATGCCTTTTACGCTAACATTTCTTGGGAAAACGTCATGGAGAGTCGAATCTCAGATTGGGGTAGACTTAACTTGGTCCAATTTGACCCCACATAGACACAGGTCTGCATGTTCACAGCTAAAAAACTGCTGTTGGTCGAAACTTCTCAATTTCAAAGCACCCTCTTCACAGCCTCGGCCTCGGTATTGGCATACTTGGCGTCGACATATCGAGTAAAGACCAGGTCCGCGGTCATCTAGAGGATTAGGCTAAATTAGCCTCGAAGAAACTTGGTGTGCTCAATCGATCGAGGCAGTATTTCACCCCGGGGCATCGCCTGCTACTTTACAAGGCGCAAGTTCGGCCCCATATGGAATATTGTTCTCATCTTTGTCTTGTTGTCTCGGACCGGCTGGACTCTTTGGCACTGCGTAGGGATGTAGCCTCTCTATCGCATTTATCACGGGGAGTGTTCTGAGGAATTGTTCGGTTTGATCCCCGCCGCATCTTTTCGCCATCGTTCCACACGAAAGCATGTTCATTCCATATCACATAGATGGTTGGCAGTCAATAACTGTGCGATTCACGCGTAACTTTTTGCCCCGCACAGCAAAACTTTGGAATGATCTTCCGGCGGCGGTATTCCCGAACCAATACGACCTTCAAACCTTCAAGAAACGAGCGTACTTCTTCTTAAAAGTCCGGCAACGCACTTGTGACTTCGCTGGTGTTGCTGGTTTCCATGGGCGGCGCCGATCGCTTACCATCGGGTGATCCGTCTGCTCGTTTGCCTCCTATTCCATAAAAAAAGAAAAAAAACGGTAATCAGCAAATAGTCCATCCTTCATACGACTGCAGATCTTTGGATAATGATATCGATATACTACACTCCGCATTTAGCTTTTCGTTCAACAACAATGAACGTGCAATTTCTATTGCTGGGTCTCCCTATAGCCTCCCTGAAAACAGATACCTTTGGGCTGCTGGATGGCTAACAGCATCTGTAAGTTTATTTTATAAAGTTCCAAATGTTTTTCGTGGATTTTGTAACACATTTATTATATTAATGTCATTTTTATATCGTAGTTTGGCGCTGGAGATAGAAAAGGGGAGAGATACAATAGGGGATGCATACTGCAGATAATTCAATATTATATCGAAATCTTTCGATAACGAAAAATATTATAATAATGATTACAATAATACGATCAGCCTGATGACTCCCACGAACCATTTATCATAGATAGATAATATTATTGTGACTTCCTTTTTTTGTTTTACTTTTGACAAGCAATCGTCATAATAACGATTAATTTTTATCTTATATCAGGACCCTCACCTTATATGTTTAAGAAGAGTGTTATTTAATAGGAACCGAGGCATGAAAGACTTAACTGACTATAACCCTTTCTTTGGGGCTGAGAAAAACCTTAGAGAAACATGTTTGTCATGATATCAACCAAAACAACTCATTATATTTAAACAGAACCTGTCACCCTGAGCTGATATCATACAAATAATTCGTTCCCTAACCACGTGATCAAAGAAGTTTTTAATTTATCATCATCAGCTCGTTTAACCTGATGACTTAAAAATAATTCTTATAAAATTCGGTTACTTGCCTTTCACCATACCTCATCAGCCTAAGTACCCACGGCTGAGCAAAGGCTTCTTATCATACGGAACAGGTTAGAGCATTAATTACTCAAGGCAGATTGGCGTTTTGAAACGTACAATTAGAAATTATAGGTTCAGGTTTCCTCATGATGTTTCCCTTCACCGGAAGTCAGTGGTGTCCAAATAATCATAGAAAGTACATAAAATTTGGAAAAATTCTCATTGGTAGTTGCCAGATTTCACAGCATCTGATGCATCATTAAATGACTTCTCTCGCCAGAGAGTTTCAGACTCATGCTTACTAAAAACTAGGCCCAGGCCGCGGTACCTTAAGTGTCAGGTTAGGCTGACAGTTATTTAGTAAGAACATCTGTTTAGTTTCCAAATAAAAGAAAACAAACCCCTGCAGCGTATATATTTTATTTTGGCAAATTGAGATCTTGATAATAAGAAGATTATTAATCATAATAATTCACAGAGACTCTCTGTGAATTATTATTAATCATTAATTGATTTTACTAGTAAAATGTTAAAACGAATAAATAAAGGTAGTATAGGTAAGAGAATATTTGGATGCTATTTTACTGCTGATCTGGATTAACTAAAGACGTCACCTATAGACAATGACGATAAAAATATACATTATGATAGAACAAATAAATGTAATACAAGAAACATTTTTTTTTTTTTTTGAATTACTTTTATGGTTTAATTTGGGCAAAAGCACAAAATCATGTTTGGGAATTGTAATTATTTTTGTTGAGCTGTCTGACTGACTATTCTCTGTTTGCACTGCTGCTTGCCACTTACGGACCAACGAAAATAATTTAAAATCAGGACTCACTAGGCAAGAATATGCTTTACATATGGGAAATCAAATTTTTACATTGCCTTTAACCATGTCACAAGTATATTTTCTAAATTCTTGTTTTTTTACTGAGAAAAAAGCTTTTGGAATTATGTGATGGTTTATTTATATTATTATATATACCAACCATAACACAGAGAGCACAAAAAGTATAATGTATAATAGTGATATTACCGCAAGATACGATTTCCAGCAGGCAAAGTTTTGTTGTTGTTTTTGAGTTTTATACTTTCTACAGGGTTTGCTAACTTGTCACAAGATTCGAAATATTAAATCAAAATGTTTCATGAAATAAAATAAAATTAAATTTGGGTGGAAGTTACATTTTATTACACAAAATTTGCTTAGCAACATATCACATCTTATGCGTTGGAGGAGATCCAAGAAGTGTAGCGGGATACACGAGCGTTGACACCGGGGAAGGCAGCCTGAGCACAGCCAATACCGAAAGAGCAGACACCAACAACGATGCCGTTGTGGTAGAGAGGACCACCAGAGTCACCCTGGCACTGGTCGCGACCACCGGTGGGCCAGCCAGAGCACAACATGTTGTCGGTGATAGTGATTCCACGGGTAGCGTAGTTGTTTCTGCAAGTGTTCTGGTTGATGATCTGCAGCTGCACGTGACGGAGCTGCTCGGAGCCGGAGCTGGCACCAGACTGCACACAAAGAATACATTTTTATTTCACATGGCCAATGAGATTCTGTCTTCTGGGTTCAATTATAACAAAATATACTTACAGAGGTGGTTCCCCATCCGGCAGCCCAGGCGGCAGAGTTGTCAGCGGGGAAGTAGTTGGAACCAGCAACGGAGGCAGCGCGGACATTGTTGTTGAAGGTGAAGGTGGAGGCGGAGCGGAGGATAGCGATGTCGTTGTCCAAAGTTCTGGAGTTGTATGAACCGTGAACGATGTTCTGGGCGACGTTGTGAACGGCACCACCGCTGTTGGCCCAGGTGGAGCCGAGACGGATACGCCATCTGCTTACGGCGTCACCACTGAAAGGAAAATATTTGTTAGAAACCTTATTGTTTATTTATTTTCGACGTTATGGCTTCTGGAAGAATACTCACGCTGTGCAGTGAGCAGCGGTAAGGATGGAACGGTTGTTGATGATGGTACCACCGCATGCCTGCCAGTAGCTACTCAAGTTCCATGAGTACAGAAGAGCAGCAATGGTGGGGTACTGGTCGATGGTGGTGACCGAACCACCAACAATCCTCTGGGGATTGGAGGGGACGGCTGAAATTAAAATTATTTTGTAATATATTGATAGACATATAAAATTAAAACTTTCAATTTAAAATCCCACGGAAAATGTAAACATACCTGCTACTGCAGCTAAGAGAAGGGCCAAACAAGCGAGGACACGCATATTGTTGCTACTTGTGAACAAGTGTACCCAATGTAACCAGCCAGTGGTATTTATATCAACGCGGAATGATTAGGGTTCTACGTGAAAAGATTAAATAGATTTATTATTGTATTATCAAAAACTGCGCATATAATGGAGATTACAGACATGAAAAGTATAAAAAAACAATAGTTTTATTAAGCTAATAATTTTATACATCCATATGTATAAAATTGTACTTTATTTTGTGCTATAAAGGTTATTAAAACCAAAAAAACTCATATAATTATCATCTCATTTCACCCAAATTTGAAAACTAATTAACATGAGATACATAGTTGTATAAAATTGTCAGGGAAAACTTTACTAATTTTAATAAAAAAAAAGCTTGATAAGATGATGACGTTGAAAACTCAAGTCTAAAGCCTGAAGTCGGGGTTGCAGGTCGAGCACAATATTGTACCAGGAGCCCGGGCTAAAGTAGGAGAACTGGTGTGTTTTTCACTCAATAAGACTCTCGCTTTCGCTCTACGTAGCGTAGAAGTGAAAGAGAAATCAATATATGAAATGCCCCTCAAAAAAACCTGATGTATAGGCTCCATTACAGAGAGCGTGATATTAGATAATTCTAATAGGTCTATATTTTATCAATCTTGAATCAAAATACATCGTCGAATGTGTCATTTGTTAATCCTTGTTTACTCGGAATCGACACTTGCTTATTTAGAGTAACCCGTTATTTTTGTCTTTACGAGAAGTTTACCCTTTTTGGCCATTTTAAGTTGCATCTATAGAAATATGGACTATGAATGTAAATCAATTATATTTTCTTGTATGTGATTTTTTTATTGATCTTCGTGTATTCTTCGATTCAATATAGCAAATTAAATAAAATAAATGTATCTTGTTGTTTTTTTTAAGTGAATTTAATAACGTACTAACTAACTAACGTAACAGTGTTATATGAAAATTAATCACAATTTATACAATAAAATAGTGTTCAATATAATTGGTGATTTTAGTGTTGGTTCTTACGGTTTTAAATAATATTATTATGGGAATAACTCCAGAAGTAAAGGGATTAAATGAAATATACAGAACAGACTTTAAATATATTTATTAGTTGAACATCGAGCTCAGTGGCGTGCAATTAGGGAAGCCTATGTACAGAAGTGAACGAAATCAGACTGATGATGATGATGATTAACATTTTACGTGGGTAAAAATTTGAGTTTCAAAAAGACCGTTAAATGTTTTTTGCTTTGTAAAGAAAGAGAGCAAGGAAAGGTACTGTTGCTCGTATTGGTCTACTCTGATACCAACAAGCTTATTTTGTGAAATTAGTTTAGCTACATATTTTAGTCTTCCAAAACCGAACAGGTGGGAAAACTATACTTTGGCACAAACGGACCGGTTTGATCGGACAGATGCAACGGCCTCACAGAAAACCGACTTAAAACAACGCTCACGATATAATCATGTATTTCGCTGTGTCAGTGAGGCTACCACGAACTCAATCTTTCCTTCGTCGCCAATTTTCAGTCCTCAAATTGCTAATCGGGCGGAATCAGTTGCTCGTCATAAGGAGACTCGTTTGCTAGTTTACAGCCCTTTGCTATAATAAAAAAATAAAATGTGATAATTGACCGATGAAACTAATTGGCTCTTTGATCATAGTTAACAATTAAATTGTTTCTTTGTATATATGTCCTAATTCAGGCACCCAATATTATGAACTTGGTATAGCTTCAAGCAAAACTGTATATTCTAGATTATGTGTTCTTCAATAAATTTTATTTTATTTATAAATTTTATTTATTTATATTTTGAGAAGTAATCGTGATGCAGAAAATTTCGTCGAGTCAATCGACTGACTATGTTGGCAGATGACCATATTGTATAATCTGTACAAATGGGTGTTTGGGTTTTGAAAACTGTAATAGGATTATAATGTAGACCCTACATCCTCTATTCCTATTAAAAAAAGTTGAACTTAGTGGTATCGAAAACATGTGCATCTTGTGTCGTGTCTGGTGCTTAATAAATATTTTTACTGTCTTTATCTGACGACAATAATTATTACACAAAATTATTGGATGTAATGTAATTTTAGTTAAAATCAATAAATTATTTACTGATTTATATAAAAGAGCGAGTTTGTAGGTAATAGAATAATTTTTGCTATAACAATAATTCTACGTTCCCCAACGTCATGGTCGTGAGCATGAACACAACGAAAATGGGTCCGCCGATTCATCCGGTTCAATATGTTGATTTCATATAAAAAAGTATGAGCAAATTTATATAGATAAAGTCGTTGGTCCCTAGATGAAACTCGCTATCTAAAATATAATTTGATATATTATATAAAATATTTTGTGATAAATACCAAGATTTTCTTGTATTTTTGAAATCACAGCCCACAACACAGTTGGGGCCGAAATATACCTTAGTGTGTTGTTGTACGAATGCTGTGTGCGTGTCTTCAAAACTAACATGGGTATTTAAGTTATGATAGCTTTCCGACGCATGACAGAATAGCCCGACACAATATGCCTTTAGTCGTCTATACTTTTGGTCTTGGACATAAAGAACAACACTTCCTGCCCGTATTATTTTATCAAGGAGGTCTATAAAATGGTCAGTAAAATGAATTTTTATACCTACAAATACAAATAAATAAAAATATAAGTTCAAATGGTCAGTAAAATATATTTGCTATTCGATTTTTACACAGATATTAATTTGATTCGTGTGGATCGGAAGAGTGCAAGAGGAGCTTTAAGTTGAAACGAGATCTTTCTGTATACGGCCGCGATAGGAAGGGAGCAAAGATGTCATTACGATGATGATGAAGGAATACTCATAGATGTTGAATAAGTGCAAGGTAGCAATATTAAAAACAGTGTAAAACGTGTAGTGAACATGTTCGTCATTTTGAAAAAGGGGGTATTTATAACGCAGTACTATGTCTGTATATAGTGACAAAAATGGCACGAGATGGGTTAGATCAGATAAGGCCTGAGAACATACTATAATAGATTTAAGTGTTAGTTAGTAAACTATGCTTTTAGAATTCAAGACCAGTAATCGGACACAAAGTCGAAAAATCGTAAAAAAAGACAAAACATCGAAAAAGGATCCTAGAAAAAGTGAATAATAATAATCTTGTCGATGTTTATTGCGTTGCTCAGCGTAAAACAAGGAAACTGGTAAAATATTTTTCTCTTTATTTGAGCAACAATAGGAAGTCAATTTAAATGGCAATTTTATAAAATTCAGTACATGTTGGAGGCTTACTACGATTTTTCTATAAAAATCTATTAAATATTTTATCATAACATTACAATAAATAAAAAAATAAATTGAGTGGAAGTTACATTTTATTACAAAAAAATATGCTTAACAATATAGTTATCACATCTTATGCGTTGGAGGAGATCCAAGAAGTGTAGCGGGATACACGAGCGTTGACACCGGGGAAGGCAGCCTGAGCACAGCCAATACCGAAAGAGCAGACACCAACAACGATGCCGTTGTGGTAGAGAGGACCACCAGAGTCACCCTGGCACTGGTCGCGACCACCGGTGGGCCAGCCAGAGCACAACATGTTGTCGGTGATAGTGATTCCACGGGTAGCGTAGTTGTTTCTGCAAGTGTTCTGGTTGATGATCTGCAGCTGCACGTGACGGAGCTGCTCGGAGCCGGAGCTAGCACCAGACTGCACACAAAGAATACATTTTTATTTCACATGGCCAATGAGATTCTGTCTTCTGGGTTCAATTGTAACAACAATATACTTACAGAGGTGGTTCCCCATCCAGCAGCCCAGGCGGCAGAGTTGTCAGCGGGGAAGTAGTTGGAACCAGCAACGGAGGCAGCGCGGACATTGTTGTTGAAGGTGAAGGTGGAGGCGGAGCGGAGGATAGCGATGTCGTTGTCCAAAGTTCTGGAGTTGTATGAACCGTGAACGATGTTCTGGGCGACGTTGTGAACGGCACCACCGCTGTTGGCCCAGGTGGAGCCGAGACGGATGCGCCATCTGCTTACGGCGTCACCACTGAAAGGAAAATATTTGTTAGAAACCTTATTGTTTATTCATTTTCGACGTTATGGCTTCTGGAAGAATACTCACGCTGTGCAGTGAGCAGCGGTAAGGATGGAACGGTTGTTGATGATGGTACCACCGCATGCCTGCCAGTAGCTACTCAAGTTCCATGAGTACAGAAGAGCAGCAATGGTGGGGTACTGGTCGATGGTGGTGACCGAACCACCAACAATCCTCTGGGGATTGGAGGGGACGGCTGAAATTAAAATTATTTTGTAATATATTGATAGATATATAAAATTAAAACTTTCAATTTAAAATCCAACGGAAAATGTAAACATACCTGCTACTGCAGCTAAGAGAAGGGCCAAACAAGCGAGGACACGCATATTGTTGCTACTTGTGAACAAGTGTACCCAATGTAACCAGCCAGTGGTATTTATATCAACACGGAATGATTAGGGTTCTACGTGAAAAGATTAAATAGACTTATTCGTGATTATCAACCATTACGCACATTAAGAAGATTACAGATCTGAAAAATATAAATCATTTTTTCATGATGATAACTAAAAGTATTGTAATTAACCAGCATTATTTACTTTATTAGAATATTATAATTCATAAATAAATACTTTTATAAAAGTTCTTTTTTAGTTACCTTTTTAATATGTTATAATGAAAGTTAAAACCCTATATAAAAGAAGAAAAGTGTGACGTTAAAACCAAAGCCTGATGTGTAGGCTCCATTATAAAGAGCATGATTTCAGATAATTGTAGTAGGTCCAATTTTTATCTTTCTCGAATCAAATTTTATCCTCGAATGTGTCATTTGTAGATTTTTATTTACGTGGAGCCGACATTTGTGTAAAATAAATATGATTTTTGTACATAATACATCCGACTAAAAAACTATCGTATGACTTAGGAAAAAAAGAATCCAATTTTTAAAAGTGGAATTCAAATAATTTTTTTTATTTTGTTATACGATTAGTTTTAATATAGTGAATGTATTTATATGAAGGATTCAAAGTGTGATTTCAAATAAATTTTATTTATAGTGGAATGGTGTTCAATACATTAAGTGATTTTTGTGTTGTTTTTACCGTTTCAAAATAATAATGATGTATCTTTAATAGAAAAGGGATTTTGGTTTGAAACATACTCTGGGATTTGTGTGACATTTTTTTAAAACGATTATGGTTTTTTTTTTATTCACGTGTGATCTAAACCTCCTTTCCTTCTATAAACAATGTTTTATACAAAATTTAAATAAATAAAAAATGTATTGGTTTTAAATAGAAAACATTAACCAAGCAAATAAAATTCTTGTTGACCCAACCGGATATGTGACCTGAAATTTTATCACACTTTTTGTTGGGTTGGTTTTCATCGAATTACTCCTTTAGCCTGTGTGAAACGAGAGGGTTACAGACTGCCACTGACAAAAAGCCAGTCCTTTGCATCTGGAAAGCTGTCTCCTCTTTCTGTGAAGCAGTTATGCTTGCAAAGAAGGAGGCAGACCGCGTGAGGGAACTATTCTCCTTCTCACCACTCCCAGTCCTACCCGCACTCCGGCCGTCGAAGATTGAGAGACGCGGGTCTGCGTAGCTCGCCGCCCAACCAGAACCAGATCCGAGGCCACCCCAGACGGGGCCCTACAGGGCTGATGTTCAGCCAGGGTAACGGGGCAGGCGCAATGTGGCACCGTGGCCTCGGTCTAAAACAGAAGGAGTTTTAGTCAGTAAGAGTCTGACACTCTCTCCCGCCCGACCCTGGGAGAAGTCATTTGATTTTCCCCTAACAAAAAGCCCCTTCCAACTGCTGTTCCGAGCACGTATGTGAGTGGACTTGACGAACTACCTCAGCCAGGCTACGGCAATAGTAGGGCATGTCCATGGTGGTCAGATTATAATACCTATGATTGCCGGATATTGTCAGTCTTGGCCAGAGAAGTTATTAGATGTTTTAAACCGATCAAAATAATACCTAGGCGTTATCTTCCGCTAAATTCGATACAGGTACCTTCTGAAAGGTGATGATTTCGTGGAGTCTCGCCAGCTATTCGCAAAGGAGATTCTTACGGTTCCAGTAACTGCAATTAGGAAAAATTGGGTGAATTCTATGTTTCTATGATACACGAACAATTATTGTAGGGGCAATTTATGATATGTACAGGAACAGTGTTATTAACATAAGTAAAAAAAAATGTATTTTGTATGCTTTCACCTGCTTGGTAAAAACGATGGATGTGGAGTGAATAGTAAGTATTTATTTCAGAAGCAAAAAGTCTTCTGATCTGGTGATTTTCATAAGTTGGATATTAAATCAAATGTTCATACTTAACATAAAATGTGATTTATTTAGTGTCATTCAGATATTTTTTCGGTAGATTGTATCGTCCTCAACATGTTTATGCTATTACGACATGGAGGATAACGTGTGGGCCACGCCAATGAAAAAGTTACCCTTAAGTTACATGTCAGTAGTCAATGTCAAAATCAAGTCTAGTGTTTTTTGGTTATCGATTTTTTCGATTTCAAATTTATTAAAGAAAAATATAAACTTCTACTATTGAAACTACAATGCCATTAAGGATTTAGAAACTTAGATACATATTTTGAAAAAACTGGGTACAGAATAAAAATAGAATGAATAGGTATTTAAAATTTTCCTTCATTTTCTGCGTATTATTCCCCATTTATCATTTACGCTTGCGTAGCTAATGCTTTAAAATCTTTTATAATCTTATCTTTTGTTTTAATGGATAATTTCAACGTATGATTTTGTTTAGTCATTTAATTTGACAGGTACCTGCCAATGTAGATTACAATCTGTTACCATTATTGATCAGCGGTTGACGCTGATAGGTTCAGTCACCGATTAGCGATTGGAGAATGAAGTCTAAAACTTACTACAAAATATCATAAAGTTATGTCTCACACATCAAGATCTGTCACATTAAGAAGTGTTATTTTAATGCCATCACTAGTCGGAATACAGCAACTGCTTCGCTATTTTTTTTTATAAACTAAGCTACGTACAAGACGTTTTTATTATCAAAAACCTGCTTTGGATACAGACACAACATTTTTTTATAGTAAAAGAAATAAACATTTAAATTTGAGCCTATTTTTTTACTCCACCCTTTTGCATAAAATTTACTAACTAATTCTACCATAAAAAGGGTGTTAAGGCTTTTTGACGAAGGAGCCATGCTTTATAGGTATACTGTACAATTTCATATCATAAATCAAAAATGTTGTTTATCTAACGATAAAAGTATTTAACAGGGTTCATAAAAAGCGATAGATATAATTATTGTGACAAGTAAAATGATCGAATGTAACGCTTGCAGTAAAAACACGTGCTACGTATCTTATCCGTCATATTTTTACATTTTGTGGTATCACACCGTCGGTAGGGTAGGTTAGGTTAGTTAGGTACCTAAATCATTTCTTCCAACCTGGATTGGGCGAAAAGGAGTGCACAATATTACTGAATAAACACCACACCGTTTTTCTCCTGCTCCAGGCCGGGGTCGAGAGAGTAGGTTTTTTTTGTCAAGGTAAAATCAAATGGCGTATCCTGCCCAGGGAAAGGCGAGTGAGAGATTCAGGCTCTTACTGACTTGAAATCGCCCCGTTCCTTTTCTTGTGTTAAACTGAGGCCTTTAGATATTGCGCTTACCTCGCAACCCCAGCTCTAGGGCCCCGTCTGTGGTGGTCCATTGGCTCTTTGAGGCGGCCGAGAGAATTGGTTAAGATGAGTTTTATGCCGGTTATATTATCAGCCCAGCATATTACCTGATTGAGGTTGCTGCTAAATCCGAATGAGTTATCATGGCTCGAACAGAGATCTCGAAAAGAACAGAGCAGAAGATGGAAAGTCTCAGCTTTTAGTTTTACAACAGTCACCAACCAACATTCGGCCTACGCAGATCGGGAGCACTCTCACTCATTCGATGGTTTTCCTCACTAACAAACTAAGCCCAGTATATTAGGTAGTAAAACTACTTGTGTTTCACATTTTGGTATGAAAGAAAGAAAGAAAAATATTTTATTTCAAAAACCAAGTGACATGTGCATACAGGTAATTAAGATTTGGATATACTATTGGATACAATGTTCATGTCCCAAGTCTTTCGTGAAATGGGACCAGTTCAGCATGTGCAAGACAGGGCCTTGCGCTGGTATTCTAATATGATACTGAGAATTCCCGAAAACCCAAAAATACTTCGAAGGTCTGCAGAATTAATGGTATCTACTTAGAGATACCCAGGTTAATGGTGTTATGGTCAATTGTATTGCATTGACAAGGCTGGGTGGTTTCTTTTCGCCTTATACACTGACAAATTATCATGTTGGTTTCGGCATGATTTAATTGGGTCCCTAGCAAACTTTACCAGTTTTTATCAGCTCTTAAAATACCTTAAGGTGCGTTTTGCCAGACTCGCCTGTGAAAAAAGGAATGGGTGTCATACGTAATTGTTCTAAGACCCCACTATAGGTAATAAGTAGTACACTTTTTCATCGCCAATGCCAAGACAAGCCAACGCTACAATATTTTGGATGGTAAAGATAATCGAATGCTTTGAAATCACGATTTTATTAATAAATGTTTCAACTTCATCGTCGTTGATCGAGTTATAGTAAGCATTTTTAATAGTTGGTACAGAATCTTCGAGTTTGGTAATACTTTGCTAACTATATAGTAAGACATTTTAATATGACGGGTGAAAATTGGGTTGCAGCATTTGGGTGGGGGGAAAAAGAATTTCACACTCTTACTTACTGAAGACCACAAGACCACACCAGTACATTAAAGCGCTTGCCCCGCAACTCTGCCACTGAACATCATCCCTTTTCGGCCCTATCTGTGGTATACTAATTGTCCTATCGAGTTTTACTAATATAATTAATCTAAATCATCGGGCAAGCGACATTAATGCCCTTATCGGTCTGTTAAATAAATATGATTAAACTTGTCATATCATTTTTATAATGACACACCATACTTGTCATACCTGAATATAGGTATAACAAAAATATAATTTGGTAAACAGATTAAAGGAATAACAATAATACTTTTAGTTTCCTCAAATGATAAATTATATAAAATGTTGAATAGAAAAGTAAGTCATGATGGGTCTGCCGATATACAAAACAGGAAAAAATAAGATTCGTAAGAAGGTCGAAGGTCCATAAACAAAAGTCAAAAGTTTACTTAGCTAAAAATTTATTCGAATAAGTAGATATTTATGAGTTAGAGCTGATCCAGGAGGTGAAGCGAGATACACGAACATTAACACCAGGCAGAGAGTCCAAACCACATCCAAGACCAAAAGAGCAGACACCGACGAGGACGCCGTTGTGGTAGAGAGGACCACCAGAGTCACCTTGGCACTGGTCGCGACCACCGGTGGGCCAGCCAGAGCACAACATGTTTTGGGTGATGGTCAAGTAGACAAGACCGTAGTTAGCTCTGCAGATGTCTTGGTTGACAGTCAGGACCATCACATGACGGAGCTGCTCAGAGCCAGTGCTTGCGCCATACTGTGTAACAAAAATTATGTTGAAAAAAAATATTCCTACTTCAGTCCCATGTGATAAATTAATGAACTTTTTCGATTTAATTTTCTTTTTTGTATTTAAACCACCATGAAACTGCACTTACAAATTATGCAAAATTATTAACTTACGTAAGTTGTACCCCAACCGGCGGCATATACGGGTTGGAAGTCAGCTAGAACGTAGTTGGAGCCAGCGATGGAAGCAGCGCGGACATTGTTGTTGAAGGTGAAGGATGAAGCCGAGTGCAAGATAGAGAGATCGCTGTCCAGGTTGCGGTCATTGAACGATGGGTGAATGATGATCCTGTTGATATTGTGTACCACACCGCCGCTATTGGCGAAAGTCGAACCGACGCGGATACGCCATCTGTTCACTTGGTCACCACTGTAAAAGAAATCATTACATTATTCTAAGAATCAAATAAGGAACAAATGCAATGGTGAGGAACCTTGATTATAAAATCAAATTTTACGTACACTGTGCAGTGAGCAGCGGTAAGGACAGCCCTGTTGTTAAGGATGGTACCACCGCAGGCTTGGAAGTAGGTGTTGAAGTTCACCGTGTACAAAAGCGCGACAATTGAGGGGTATTGGTCGATAGTAGTCACCGATCCACCCACTATCCTCTGAGGATTTGCTGGGACAGCTGTAAACAAAGAACATGTTATATGTTAACCAGTTGAATACATTGCAAAAAAATAGACACGATCATTTTACTTCAATGATTTCAATGAGAATACTAGAGTTGTATTATATTGTACCTGCCACAGCCGCGATGCAAAGGGCTAGAAAAGCGATGACACGCATTTTGTATAACTCGCTGACAAGTGATGTAAATTGTCAAATGATGACGGTATTTATATCAAATTGAAATCGATTAGAGAACTATATGAGAGATTAAATGATACAAATTATCATTGAAAATACGCAAACGGAATTAACAGATTATCAATAATCTTTGGGTCTCGTGCTCGCACGTGCCTAACCGTTAGAGTTTCAAAGAATTTCTCAGCAATAATTTTGCTAGTTTTTAAAATTGTATTTATATGGCTAATGTGTTTAAGAGATTTATTTTGATTCCAATTTATCATTCATAACATAAAAATTGTTATTAAATATATTGGAGCCAGAAGTAGCTATTTTTAACAGTCACTGTAGTGTAAATTTTATTAAAGTATGATTTTTCAAATACGTACCCTGATTCCTTCAACAGTGATGAATGTTCTCCTACTAGTTTAACTATTAATCACTATACCAACAGCACAGCTAAAACAAAATAAATTTTATAATGATTTTTCCTCATCGTGGATGCATTTACAATTATGTACTTTAATCACAATACGGACTGCCCTGATAAATTCATTGTACACAATGCAGTCCGAAGTAGTCTGTTTTTTTGGCAAGAAATAGGGACTGGATAAGTCTAGACCAACTTTTGTTACACTTAATATTATGGCTTTAATGAAGCTACTTCTTTTATAACTATTGGTCGACTCAGTACCCATGCAATGGATAGTTTGTGTAAGTAAAGAAAAGTAGGTTGCAGCTACCTTGACATTTAACATAAAAAAAATGAAAGAAGGAGACACTTTCGGAAAATGTAAGTTGCGATGAAAACGTTGGGAACTTACCACAAAGATCAAATTTGCTTATTACCTTTTACTAGTTTATTCTTTATTTGTTGTTGTATGTTGATAAAAATCTACATACCAATTTTCAACCGAATCGGTCCAGCCGTTTTTGCGTGAAAGAATAACAAACATACATCCATACATTCTCACGAAGTTTCACGTTTACAATATCATTTTTTTTAAATCCAATTTTGATTACAATATCAAATTATTAAAATTTATTATAATATGACATTAAGTACAAAACTTGGTGCATACGTAACTTTTTAAAATTTTAAATCATTCATTGAATTATCAGTACGTACGTACATACAAAAAACGCTTATCGATTATTTCCGTTTTGGCACGTGATTTATTAAAAGAGTTTATAATAATAATAATATCGTACACACACATATACACATAAATGCAAGCAAACATGCAGGTACACCATTTCTGTGATAATAGAGATCGGATCCTGTGTAGTGTTGTGTTTCCTTCCCATGCCCCCATCTATTTCAAATCCATAAATATACGAAACCCTTATCCCTAAATGGCTGGCAACACCCTCGTCTCTCTTAGTGTTGCGGGTGTACTTGGACGGCGCTGATTGTATACCATTAGGCAATCCGTATGGTCTGATCCGTATGGTAAATATAACTCATAATTGTTATAACCACAATAAAATTCTGATACACTAAGTATATATCGTCAATAGATCTTTCAATAATATTCGTTTTATAGTAGAATCGTAAATTTTATCTTTATAGGAATTTGATACTATAAAAATCATAACATATTTTGATTTCATATAATGTTTACTTGTACAATTAAATTGCTAGTAGGTAATTTTTCAATGATAAGATAAGTAAGTTTCATCTAATTATTATTCTATATTGATAAGGAGATACACAACATTTCATAAGGTATTGAAATATGTATAACAACTTAAATAATAATTTGTGAAAAAAAACTTGTTACGAAATTTCACAAGAACTAAAATTATTAAAAGACTCTTCCAATCTAGTCAGACAAGATAGTGCTGCCCTAATTATAAAATAAAGACTAAAAAAAATACTCCTGCTTCTTACTAATTTCCTCCTTAATTTTCTTGACTATAGAGTACAATACTTACATGTTTTTTTTCTAAACATGCGGTGTCATATTTTTCTGATATACTGCTCGAACTTATCTTTTTATCTACCGAATTACAAAAATACTGTATCAGCGCCTTCTGTAAACAACTGAGCAATCGTCATAAGAGCGTATAAAATTTTGCTAATAAAAGTGTGATGATTTTGCCGCTCTTTTCGATGATAGTTATCTTTGTTCTGACAGCTTAAATAGTTGCGCGACCCACCCAAATGTTCTTTTGATTGGTATTGTTCGTCGGATAGCTCAGCATCACCTGTTAGTTTAACTGGTTGTAAACTGACACTTGCATGCCTTTCCTTAGAACGGGCTCACTTAAATGGTGTGGTTCTTTCCTCAAAAGACCACTACAGAATAAACATGCACGGTTCTCGCACATTATATTATTTTTCACATTGTCTGGACTTGAAAAGAGACGGACCTCTGAGCTTATTTCGGTCAGAGTAGTCAGATTGGAAATGTATAATTTTGACGTGCAAGAGTGCGCATTTTGGAATATTTAAAAAAAAAAATTCATTGTTTCATTGTCATAGAAATGTTCATTATTACTTGTCTTTATTTTGTACTGTAATTCTCACATGACTTGAATCAGAACGAATCAGCATTAACATTCTCTTAAAAAAAATGAAATACTTGTAGAAATATTTGCTTCGAAGCTTTTATTAAGCAAGACTAAAATTTGACATCGCCAAAAGTTTACAAAGATATTACATTTTAAGCGTTCTCGTTAATCCACAAACTGAATTTTGACGTCCTAACGAACACATCAGGGAATGCTTCCAAATTGCATCCAAGACCAAAAGACTGTACGCCAACGACGAATCTGTTTTGAAACATTGGTCCACCGGAACTCATTGAGCACTGGTCTGGACGATTCATGGCTGGGCGAGCGCAAAGCATATTTTCAGAGATGTTCACAGAAACATCGGTGTAATTATTTCTGCATTGCTCCTGATTAACTAATCTGTATACTATTTCACGTTGGAACCCAAAGTGTGGTTGCGAACCGACCTGCAAAATAGAAAAAAAATAATAAAGCATTATAATAACCAAAATTACAGCACATCACTTTAACTTTAAAGTCTACATACATTGTATTTTCATAAGTCATGATTTTTAATCATGGTAACTCATACAGAACCCTTAAGTAGTGTCTTCACTGTAACTTTAAGTATTATCTGACATACTAGATTCATAAAAAATGCAATTAATAAAACACGTATGGAAATAAGCGAGAAAAGCTCTACTAGTTTCAAATTATACTGCGCGATGTCATTCACCGGGCACACTGATAAATTAGAGTCCCGCTGTATAAAAATAAACCGTACTTTTAAGTTCCATTCTTACATAATGATTTGATAATAGCATAACTAAACAACCACCTTCGAGAAACGAGCGTACTCCTACTTAAAAGGCCGGCAACGCACCTGTGACTCCTATGGTGCTACGGGTGTCCATGGGCGGCGCCGATCGCTTACCATCGGGTAATCCACCTGCTTTGCCTCCTTTTCCACAAAAATAATAATAAAAAAACATCGAAAGACTTACCACGGGCTGGATCCAATCATAAACGTAGCTAACAACATGGTTCAAGATTTGATGGTTCGGGCCGGCGACATCAGCTGATCGGATAGTAAAGCTTGTAATGATTTCAGAAGCAGAATGCAGGAGACTGATGTCACTGTCGTATCTGACAGGGTTATAATCTGGATGGACGATAATCTTGTTAACGTTGTAAACAACACCACCAGTGTGAGCTTGATTCGAACCAACGCGGAATCGCCATTTCGAAGCATTGTCACCACTGTAAACCAAAATAAGGATTTTGTTAGTAAAAGTCAAATGAGTTTTATAAAACAAAATGCACAGCTATATATGGATGTTTTTTATATGTACAATAACAAAGGAGAAAATTTCAAGACGAAATAGTATGATGTTGGTTTTATTGTCAAAATAGTCATTTTGAGGATATTATTTTCAAGTATGAGAGAGCCAAGCTTCGGCACGCATGGGTCGGCTCGACCGGAGTGATACCACGGCCTTAAAAAACACTGTGGAAACAAACACAGCGTTTCGCCGTGTAAGTGAGGTTATCGGAGTCTATCAATATCAATTTGCATACTATTAAATACCTTATATAATTTTGCATACCTCCTAGACTGCCTTCCTATCTAGATTTACTGACCTAGACCGTGCGTGGAGATTTATATTTATTTGTTCCTCGTGTGAGCAGTTGCATTTTGTCAGCAGTTTAACAATTAATTTTAGGCTTATGATGATGATTAAAAATACTTACATGATGCAATGGGCAGCAGTTAGAATCGCCTTATTAGACACAATGGTACCGCCACAAGTAAACCGGTATGTACTCAAATCCGATGAGTACAAGAGCGCGGCAACGGAAGCTTCAGGACGAGGTCCAATAATTCCCGCACGCCCAAATTCTGGATAAGGTGACGCCGCTGAAAAAAAATATTAACATTATTATAATAAAAACATGGTTTGCGATTTCGAATGTCTAAAAGGCAGCAAATCAACAAAATTAATTGTAAAGTGTGTGGACTTTAACTTTGAAAGTCAACCAAAATTAGTCTCTGATTGTAGGTAGGTATATTTTGGTCGATGCTGTATCCGTTAGTGAATCTAGATGATAGTTCAAAATTGGAGATAACCTACTAATACAGATAATACAATACCTTTACAAATAAACAAACTGATAATAAGTATTCTGTATTATAGGTTAAAGGAAAAGGCCCCAATGCATGGAAAGGCCTTTGGGGGTGGATAAACAATCTATCAAATATAGATTTTTTGGAAAAAGAAAAAGAACTGAGCGGTTTCCCACCACCCAAATTAATATTATAGAAAATTCAAATTCTTTCTGTTTTTAATCTATATAGTATATAAAAATAATCATAAAATGTGTTGGTAATCACATAGCTCTAGAACGCCTTTACCAATTTCGCCACAGTTTATTAGTGTAGGCAAAATCTACGAACATTTTAGAAAAGGAGAAAGTGACATCGGGAATTAGCCGCCCTTTCGTCGGCAGCGAGGATAACCGTGCACGGGCTTACTAGTTAGAAATATAACAGATACAGTTACCTGTTACAGCAACGACGCAAAGAGCAACGAATACGATGATAGCCATTCCGAATATGCTTGCTGGTGGTAAATAAATGAAATCATCAAATACTGCATTATTTTATACTAAATCAATGACCGAATAAAAAAAGTAACACGTATTTGATAAATCAAGAGATTAACAGATAGTATAAATAAATAATAATAAAGTCAAAAAATCCCAAATTACTTTTAAAATCGCGATAAACATCGATGATTTTGATGGTCGACTTTATGCCAGGTGGCATCGGAATGATAAATTAGACAGTTCCATATCATACAGGAAATCCGCGAATCAATCGATACCTAGAGTAAAATAGGAACCCTTTCAATAATTTGTTTAAGTTATTATTTACATACATAATATTTATATCATCACTATCCGCCCCTTTTCAGTGCAGCTTGATGTTCAGCTATTCTCTGCTTCTATTTACATTATATGCAGATTGTAGAAAAATGAGATATCACTTCATCCAAACTATTATTATAAATGCGAAAGTAACTATGTCTGTCTGTCTTTTCTTCACACCTAAACTACTAAACCGATTTCTGTTAAATGTGGTACTGACATACGTAGTTTGGAACTCGAGAAAGGACATAGGATAGTTTTTATACCAAAATTAACAGGAAGTCACTATTCCACGCGAACGGAGTCGCGGAAAGTTGCTTTTTCTGTCCATATATCCCTATCTTTATTCGTTCAAATTACACAACAGCTTTTGATTCAGTATTTTTAATAGATACTTACGAATACTTTTATGTATCCATCCATTAAATAGTGGAAAAATTTAGTAGCATTGCACCCGTACGAAGCGGGGACGAGTCGCCAGTTTTAGTATAAAAATACGCGTAATATCCCAATATAATCCTAATGATGACTTCTGGATATACTTGAATTTTTTGCCGTTCGTTAACTTGTGGATTTGTGTCTTTTGTGTATAGGTGAAATTGATTTTCCACATTAAGGCAACAAAAGTAAAATCATTAATTTGATTTACTTCTCTTGTCCTGGTTGGTGCAAGGGGGGGTGCCAGTCTTTAAATGACTGCGATTGGCTTGTGCAATAAGATTGCTTATTGTAAACTTATTTTTTGGGAGTTATGCTACGTTACTATGTGTTGTACAATAAAGTAAACAATAGTTAATCAATTCATAAACAACCCCGTTCATTTCCCTAGTCGCAGCACATCCTTGCGCTTGTAGACCCCATTTATGTTGATCTGATGACTCTTTGAGACGCGCGTGGAACACAGCGCACCGTACACTCAGGTCTGTTTTTGATAGGAATCCGCACTTACGGTGATGCACATTCCCCAGTTACTGCAACTTGTGAATCTGGGCGCCTGGAATATGAAGAGGATTTCTTCTTCATGCGCCCCACCGCCTCCTTATCTGGCATAACTGCTTCGCAGAAGGAGTTAGCGGCTACCTAGTTTCTCTCAATAATGACCCCCAGGCATTTCGTCTTTTGAAATCCTAAACAGCTACCTCCCGAAAGTTCTATATCGAATATTTTAGGCCCAAGGTGAGGACATTCTAGCGACTCCTTAAAAAGAAGGAACTCAACAAAGTGAGCTCGGTGTTATTAGGTACTTTAATCTTAATAGATGGTTTAAGAATCTTTTTTTTATTTGGACTAAAATAGGACTTTTTTTTTGGGTACGGAACCGACAAACCTTAGCGGTACACATTCAAAAACGAACTCGACATTAACAGGTGTGGATTTTTTAATATGATGGGTTTTTTTTTATATGTGATGATATCTTGCTTGACCTAAATACTTCATTTTATCAAAAATATTTGTAATTTCTATCTTTTCGATATTCGGATTATGAATAAATTTTGATTGATTTCCTAAAGTTGGAAATTAATTTAATTAGCAATATGATCCTGTCGTGATCGGACTCCGTTCCAGAATGTATGCCTGCATTATTCGTTAATTTTTTTTATTTGTTGGTACCACAACAAAAACACACTGTCCCAACTCCTGTTATATAATGAAGCTGTCGCATACAGCCAGGTTTGCCCACAGGAAAAAAATGTAACAGTATAATATGGACCAGATACAAATTTTTTGAAAATTAGCTTGCACGCATTTTTTGTGAGGGGAAAATTATCAAACGATTTCGGGCGGTGTAGTTTTCCTGTGAGCAATGCTGGCCTTACGGTGGCCGGAGATAATCTCTTGTCCACACACGGCTTCGCCCCCGTTGTATGTTGATAAACAGCAGCCTTTATGTTAATCCAGAGCATTTAAACACATCAACCAAAACAATCTAGCCATTTCTACATGTATACTATAGCAAAACTACATCCATATATTCTCACAAACTTTTAATATTAGTAGGATAACAATTGACTCACGTGAATTAATTCCGAAAATCTCTAGCAGTTTCAAGTCACAACGGGACTCTTATTTATGAACAACGTGCACGTCAAGAGTGTTTTCCAAGAGGTCTTTCTGAATTTCGTAGTATCCCGGATAACGATAGAGACCCAAAAATTATGGCGTAGGTATCAAATCAGGCACTTCATTAGAAAATGTCTTTAGGTAGTCTAGCGTCAGTGGGTTAAATTTTTAAATAATGATTTTATCAGAACCGGTAAGGAGTCGCCGTGGTATGTTCTTCCCAGAGGGTAAGTGTGAAGTAAGTAAGAGTAAAGTAATCAATAATAACTGAGAGTCCTTAAGGACCAAGAATCAACAGGCGCGAGAAAGACCAATTGCATACTACTATAGTTACCTACTCTATAAAAAATACTTTTCTATACATTATAATCGTGGAAACAGCACAATTTGCCAACTACACATAAACATTTCTTATCTTGTTTTTTATTATTTGGCAACTCTACTGTTCTATTGTTACGATGTGTCAAAATAGCTTCTACTTAGTTTTTGAAAGCTCTTTCTATATGTATATGCAGGTAACTATTTGCCATTATTGATAATTATCATTTACTAGCTTCCGCCTGCGGTTTCGCCCGCGTGGTATGTTGAGAAAGTAGCCTATATCCTATTCCGGAGTGTATCCTTTGCGTGTACCAAATTTCATCCAGATCTGTCTGTCCGTTTTGGCGTGATTGAGTAACAAACATCCAAACATCGAAACTTTCGCAATTTATAATATTAGTAAGATAATGATCTGCCATAAGACCTCTACAGATGGGCCGATGATCAGCCAGGATACGGCTGAACATCGGCAATGGCACGGCTCCAGTGCAATAACGCTTTGCGGCCTCAGTCTAGTGCAGGAATAAGTACGGGGTGATTTTTAGTCACTAAGAGTCTGACACCCGTGACCTTTTCCCCAGCCCAGGGCGACATAAGTCATTTGATGATTAGACCATCCCAAAAACAAAATCTACTTCTAATGATCTCTCAGGGATACATTATGTTACTAGTATCTCTTTAGAAATACCTACATATTCAGTGAATCGACATTAATTTAATTTATTTCATGACATTTTAATTTAGTTAAAATGTCGTGGTGGCCCAGAGGTTAAGGAGCTCGCTTCGCATGCATGAGGGTGTTCGAGACTTGTAAGTAAGCACCAATGTGACTTTTTCCGAGTTATGTGTACTTTCTATGATTATTTAGACGCCACTGACATACGGTGAAGGTAAACATCGTGGGGAAACCTGGACTTATAATTTCTTATTATAAGTTTGAAATCGACCCGCATTGAGCAAGCGTGGTGATTAAAGCTCCAACCTTCTCCGTATGAGAAGAGGCCTTTTCTCGGCAGTGGGCACTTATAGGCTAATGATGATTGGCTATAAATTATCAATAACATCTTTTTTCTTTTTATTTTATGTGTCACATCTACCACAACCTGTCTATGACCCTAAGGTAGACTGGAAGAAATGCCTGGGCCATTAAATCCGTTATTGTGCAAAAAGTTGAGTTGGTAGTTATTATTTAATCCGATGCCCCACACCGGGCATGAATTTTTAAAATTTAAATTTTTAAAATTCTTGTTGATGAAGTGGTTTACGTACTGTTTAATTATTACAAGTGCCTAAATAACTTAATATAAATAAATAATAGGTTACAACAAAAAAAGTATGTTAGGATAGCATATTTTATTGGGAAAAATGGTTTACAACATTTTATGCGTTAGCAGAAATCCAGGAGGAGAAACGGGATACGCGAGTATTCACACCATGGAGGGAGTCAAGACCACATCCAAGACCGAAGGAGCAGACACCGACAACGACGCCATTGTGGTAGAGAGGGCCACCGGAGTCACCATTGCACTGGTCGCGACCTCCAACGGGCCAGCCAGAGCACAACATGTTTTGGGTGATTTGGATGAAGACAAGACCGTAGTTAGCTCTGCAGATGTCGTGGTTGACAGTTAGGAGCATCACGTGGCGGAGTTGTTCAGAACCTGGACCACCGTCCTGTAAATTAGATAAGATTTTTTTTTATTTGAGGCCCCTCCAAAATCTGTACTTAATAAATATTATTGAAGAGTGTTTGGTTGTTAAAAACATTTACTTTACTTGGTTTTAGTCAAAAAAAAGAACTGTTTTGAAAGAAAACTTACGAAGATTGAACCCCAACCAGCAGCCCACACAGGTTGGTAGTCACCAACGTTGTAGTTGGAGCCAGCGATGGAGGCAGCACGGACGTTGTTGTTGAAGTTAAAGGCAGATGTAGAGTGCAAGATGCAAATGTCACTATCCAAGGTAGAGTTGTTGAAGGCCGGGTGAATGATGACATTGTTCACAGCGTGCATAACACCGCCGCTGTGTGCGAATGAAGAACCGACACGGATACGCCATCTGTTGATCGGGTCACGGCTGTGGAAAGAAGAAGAATTTTATCAACATTAGGAATTATTTTCGCAAAAAGAAGGAGATATTTTATAAGGATATTTAAATAAAACCCTTAATTAATAATCTATACGTACTAGAAGCAGTGAGCAGCAGAGAGAACAGCCCGGTTGTTTATGATGATACCACCGCAACGTTGCCAGAATGAGACCAAGTTCTCGGAGTACAACAGAGAAGCAATGGATGGGTACTGATCAATAGTGGTCAGTTGACCACCCACAATCCGCTGTGGGTTAGAGGCAGCTGAAAAGAAAAATAAATACAAATTAATGAAAACAAACACATAAAAAATTATACCTAGTCATTATTTTTCGACTTTTGTAAATAGGCAAACTGTTTGGAATTATATATAGGTATTATGATATGAATCACATTATTGAATTCATTGCTATGTATGATAGGACTGTGTTAACACACACGATAAAAACAAAAATATATTGCAAAACAAATAACTTTTCAGGCAATAATAAAAGAAAGTATAAACATACCCGAAGCTGTTGCGATGAAAAAAGCAAAAAAGGCGAAGACAATCATTCTGTCGTGACTCGAGGACTAGTGAGGTAGATCATCAAATTATTACGATATTTATACCATCGATTTTAAATCAACCGAAGCGTAATGCCGTCAGATAAAATAATTATCATTTACCCGAAGTACGTAAAATGGATTAATAGATAAATCAAATAATTTCGATTAAAAAACCCAACTATTTACAAATAAACCAAGTAAATGACAAGTAGTTTTTACTAGTTACTAGACAAGTTTATCTAAAGAATAGTTCACATCCACAAAAGTGTGTGTATGTATGATAGCTTTCAAAGGCTAAGCAGAATCTGTAAATAATTTTGTTTTCTGGTGGTTGCTCTTTGCTCTTAGTTTTAAGGATTAGGATGAAATTGGATCTATGGAAATTAAATGAAAACTGTAAACTGAAACCACAGAAAATAACCCAAAGTTATTGTGCCCTAAAATATTTTTCTTAGGAAGATTTATTTTCTAAATTCTGATCTTCTGATTAATGAGCATAAGTACCGTAACAACTCCTGCATTATGTCGGGGCCTCAGTACTTATATGGCTGTACACGTAACCTCGGTGACTACCCTGGTTGGCTCTCTTTGTGGTGACGTCTCTTTCAGTAGTATGTATGCAAATAAAATGGGCATTTGGCAAAATCCGAAAAACAGAAAAGTTTGCGGTTTTCTTTTGTTTGCTTTTTTCCCAAATATGGAAAGCTAAAACAGTGGGGCTTTCTAGTAGTATGTACCCTTCATTATAAGATAAAATTGGTAAAGTAAAAAAATTTGCTTATCATCATTAATATAGCGGAATGGGTTTTTTGAGTTTGATATCTCCGGTCTGTCTGAACAACTGGTTGTTAACGCTCACGTGTATCAAATTATTTATTGTAAGACATCACTCGGAAGCAGTCCTGCTTCCAACAATTAAAGGAAATTTGTTACTGTATAAGTGTAACGTGACTTTAAATTAATAGAAAAAATAATCGGGTCAAAATGTTATGTGTTTTTTAAAACAATAATCGCTTCTCCATTTTCTAACAGAAGCCATTATATTATACCATTCGTCACATTTAAAGCTGTTGAATTTGATAACAATAACCATTAATGATCATGAAAGTTTTGGATCATCTTCTCTCAACTAAATATTGTTACGTCAAGTTCTCTTTTTTATATTATTGGACTCATCATCATCATCATATCAGCCACAGGACGTCCACTGCTGAACATAGGCCTCCCCCATTGACTTCCAGATAGGCCGGTTGGAAGCGACCTGCATCCAGCGGCTTCCTGCGACCTTAATCAGGTCGTCTGTCCACCTTGCGGGTGGACGTCCTACGCTGCGCTTGCCGGTACGTGGCCTCCACTCGAGAACCTTTCTGCCCCAGCGGCCGTCGGTTCTACGCGCTATGTGCCCTGCCCATTGCCACTTCAACTTACTAATCCGCTGGGCTATGTCGGAAACCTTTGTTCGTTTGCGGACATCCTCGTTTTTTATACGGTCTCGCAAAGAAACTCCGAGCATAGCCCTCTCCATAGCGCGCTGAGCGACCTTGAGCTTCTTTATAAGGCCCACAGTAAGATACCACGTTTCAGTTCCATAGGTCATCGCTGGTAACACACATTGATTATAGACTTTCGTCTTAAGGCACTGAGGTAAGTTGGACGAGAAGATGTTGCGTAGTTTCCCGAACGCTGCCCATCCAAGTTGGATTCGACGATTGACCTCCTTCTCGAAATTGGACCTACCTAGCTGGATCACTTGTCCCAGGTATACATATTCGTCAACAATTTCGAGGTTAGAACTCCCAACTGATATCGGATAGGGCGTGACATGGGCGTTTATTATTGGACTGCAAACTATTAAATAGGTCATTTGATAGTGAGCAATCGGCGCCCCCTGTAGACAGCCACAACATCACAAAAGAGCATTGATGGCCTTTAGTGCGTTGATTGGAATTTGAAGGTTACAGATATGCAACTTTTTCTGGGTAAAAAGTGTACCTTTGGTGACGGTTGGCATTTCCCGATATGGTATATTTAACCTCTCTTGTTTTCTGTTTCCAACAGTCTCATAACTTCAACTTTAAGGTGCGTATTATTTGTATCCTGACGAGTTGCAATTTTTAAGCTGCTTAATTCTACCCCTTGCGCTGTTAGTTAGTTTAGTATTAGGTATTCCATAGCGATCAGAGGTGTGATTCTGTAAGACTTCATTCTAAACTTCGAATCTGAATCCGCTGTGAAGTAGTAAACTAGCGCTACACTTGCGAGTTAAACTAAATTGACGGCAACATCTTGATAGATAAAGTATGAGATGACGTTAAAAGTAGCATTCTGTTGTGTTAAATAACATAAGATTCAAAATCAAACAAATTTTTTAGAATCGACGTGCAGTACTGAAGTGAACTCCTTTCATGAAGCAAGTACAAAGGCCTGTTTATCAGCAATAACAGCTGGGCAATATTGTACTTTTTATTGGTACAAAGCTTGGAAACTAAAAGTAGTTAATAATTTAAAATTAATAAGTGTTTATGCATAAATATTATTCTTGTTCTCCTGACAGCCCTATTTTCCGAATCCTAATAGCTGGCTCCATCCAAAGGTCATTTTATAAATCATTATCATTTATATCTTAAGCTTTCCTGTATATTTTATGGTATAGGTACAATAAAGAGTAAATAAAAATAAATTAATTAAATAATATATATATAAAGTTTCAACTGGTTTTTGCTAAGTCCACACCCCCATTAATTGTGTTAAGTGTGTGTGAATGAAAAAATGCATTTATGAATGAAAAAATGTATCGGCCTCATAAGTATTTTGGAAACCCCAAAAATCATTCATTTGTAATAAAAGACAAAAAATGCATTTATCAAGGATAAATATAAATACCATTTAAATTGGAGTTTGTCAAAAGAGTCATAACATCTTAGATAATCGTCGTCAACGCAAGAGAATTATGATTTGCTTATCTTATGCCTGGATAAATAATGTACTCAAATGACGTGCATTGATTAATAAGCATTGTGTTGCGATTCAGGCCGTGTGTACTTGCTACCGTTAACGTAGGTCTGCGGACGGCGAGCAAGGGTAGTTCGTCGCTCGAGTAGAACCAGACCAGGGCCTCGAGTCTGCTATTACAATAGTGTCAGAATAGTAGATCATTGGTTTCAAAATTGTTGATTTTGACAAGTTTGGTAATCTACTAACACGATAGCTTCATTATTGCCCGGTTCCTATATATAACGAATCGTCATTGTATACGCATTACTATCCGTTTTTCAACTACCGAATACGAATCGTAGATACCGTTCCTATAATCATGTTCTTTACGAACGTCCGTTAGTCATTGAAATACCGAGGCCTCTTCATTGACAGATGAGCGTTTCGTTATAAGTAAAATTGAAATTAAAGATAACACAAAATTCAAGATAAAATAAGTCGGATTTACATACAAATTATTCTTTTACTTTTATTAACTAAAACTATGACATAGCAGGCATCTGCGTGATCATTTTTCCCTTACCAAACAAATTGAATGCAGCTAACACCATAGAAACGGAACGTTGTAATAGTCAAGAGCGTTGGCATTGACGTTTGACATCCGTTAAACAAATATTTATTTTCAAATAATCAATCTCGATTCATCTACAATTTATAATTTACTGATAACAAGATACGTGTTTGTTATTGCCTACGACATCGAAAGAAGTTGACTTATATAGAAGTTATTGTTTGAAATGGATATTGTGCCAACAAAGTGGAAAACACATGTATATATGGAATTATCTCTATGTCTAAGCTTCTGCAAAGCAAAGGTAAAAATAATTCTATATTAACAGTGTTTATGTGTCTCCCATACAAAGGTCCAATTTCTAATTTTGTAATAAGTAAAAATATAATTGCATAATTATTATGTGACTTATACATACATATGTAGTTGGACACCTTTTGTCATTTCATTGTGTATGGAATTACTGTAACATTAAAACATGTGCTAATGACCTTTCTTTATTACAGCCAAAGAAATTAAAATGAACCAGGTGACGGACGGCTTCAATGTTATTTGCCAATTGCAAGATACTATGATAAAACGACAGAAAACTCTGTCATTAAGCTTAAAATATTGAAATAGGAGCCAATAAGGAAAATATTGATTGTAATAATAATATTTAGTTTGTAGTTTGAATAAATGTCGTTTTTTTATTTAAATGGTATGGAGGCATTGAAATGGTTTGGTTTTTGGTTTTTTGTGCTATTTAGGATGTTTCGAACAGTTGTAAAATAAAACATTTATGTTTTTTTCGTTTTATTATTTTTCATAACATTTATTAGAGAACTAATATTTATCAGTTCATTACTGCTGTTTATCTTGATATCATCATACATTAGTGTAAACTGAAAAATATAAAAACCTTTGAAGTAACGACAATAAACAAAAAAGGAGAAGGTTCCTTCTTCTTGTTGTACATGTACCTACTACCATAATACATCATTGGATGATAATGTGGTTACATGGATAAATATTCTGCAATCATTGTGTATCTTTCCGTAGAATTTTTCATTTTATCAACATTACTTGTCACGAAGAACAAATGTTATGGAGCACTTCTATAACTATTAGGTATAACAGCATGAACTCGTAAGAGCCACCAAAGGAAATCGCCGTTTTCACACTTCGAAACATCTAAAACCAAATAAGTTTGTAATTTATTTTCTTGCTGCAGATAATTAATTAAATTATAAAGTAACTGCTCAGATGATTATTTATCGAGTCGATATCTTACTTGATATTCGTAAGAATCTAGCAACGCTAACTAGGTACATATAATCCACTCCTTCTCTATTATATTTTGTTACCTCTATTATTATCTTCTTCTATCTTACTTGATATTCGTAAGAATCCAGCAACGCTAAATAATCCGCTCTTTCTCATTTGTATTTTGTTACCTCTATTATTATCTTCTTCTGAATCAGTTTTACTGGAGTTTGATATAATATCAAATGCTTCTTTATCACTATCTAAACTCGACATTTTAAGATTTAAAAGCGAAATCAGTGAACTTACTTTAAAAATTCTACTCTAACCGACCGACATCGGCACGTAACCAAATGACATTACGAATAGTCATCTTGACCGTCTACCGACGGTTAAAATATTTATAGGAACACCATAGACTGTCATCTCCATACAATACGCTTACCGATACCCTCCCATCCGTTAGTTGCAAGCCGTCAGTAAGTTGCACGACGAGACGTTGTTTATAGGAACGGTTTTAGCTTACGAGCCGTATATAAAACTACTATTCGTAACTAAAACGGATCGTTTGTCAATTATAGGAACCGGGCGTATGACTTTCCAATGCCACTTCATTGAAATAATTCTTCAGAACGGTAATCTCGTACATAATGACAAATGAATATTTGACCTAATGCAGTAAATTAATAAAAAAAATTCAGTTCCTTTATTCAATGATTTACGTTTAGGATATTAATGTGCAGTTATTGTTTATTATTCGTTACAAGACATTTCGTACTATAATTCTATTACGACATCGCCGAACGCCAATGATCAGCCATTTTGAATTAACAGATTACGAAGTTTTAGCAAAATGACAATGGAATCGTGTAGGAATGACAAAACTTTGAAAATAGTAGACTCGGGCCCCTGAGCGTAAAGGGCCACTGGACCACTACAGACAGGGTCGATGTTCAGCCGGTGTTGCGGGTGCAATAATTTCTGATGGTGTGGTTTTTAGCCAGTTTAAGTCAGATACTCGGATCTGGCTCCAGCAGTGTGAATCTGTACGACTTCATTCTAAACTTCGAATCGAATCCGCTGTGAGTACTCGTAGTAGTACACTTGCGAGTTGAACTAAATTGACGGCAACATTTTCATAGACAAAGTATGAGATGATGTTAAAAGTAGCATTTTATAATGTAATTTCCCCGTCAGTTCGACGCTCACTTCACTCTCGAACAACATTCAAAATCAAACAAATTTTTTGTAGAATCGACGTACAAGATATGAAATGTTATTTGATGATATTCCCTCTTCAAAAAAAAGCCCTTTGAATCAACGTTTCCAAGCATTGACACCGCCTTTCTACTATGCGAGCCCTAATACATATTATAATATAGTCCTGTAATTTTAAATTACTTTTTTGGAAACTAAGTTATATAATGGCTTTGGTAAACAACCTTCTTTAGAAGCGTTTCTAAATAAACGTCTTCACACAAAAATATTTCATTGCATCATAATTAGTAATCATTATGACATGTGTATTGATCTTCATTATTTAGGCATCCATTGTAATTTGTTGGCAGCGCAATCCTTTTTTATACACAATGCAACACAGCTTGGTATAATCTAGACTAGGAATAAAAATTTCGTAATAACAATTTAGATGTGACAGTCTGTCAATAGATGGCGCTAAATATATACTATTTACATCACACAAAGCAACATGCAACCTTGCCTTTAGTTTTTTCCTCTCTTCTTTCCTTCCTCAGTTGCCTATTTTTTTATGAATTAGTGCTTAAAATACAAAAACATCAACCAAGTGTAATCTATTTCTTTTAATAATTAATATTTATCGACGGCGATTGATTAAAATGTCTGTCTTATGATTATGGCGAGTTTTATTATTACTACTAGTGCATTGGAAATATTTGTTTACGAAATATACAAAATTTCAGATAACTTAATATTAGTCAATAAGTTTGAGTCACACTCGCAAAATAATTAATACCGATTCACATTAGTCCATTAAATACTTTTTTATTTTTAATTATGTACATATATTGTTAAGTATAGCTGCTACAAAAATACATTATCTGTCCAAATTTGAACTGTCTGGTTGTCACTTTTCATGAGACGCCTGGAGACAGATAGCGGATAGATAGCAGAGCTGTAGCTATAGGTTTCCCGTTAGTATCCTTTAAGTACGGACTCGAACCCTTAAACAGCAAACCCATTTTTTCCATTATAACCTCAACAAATACGAGCTCAACCATTTAGGGTGGTCCTAATTACATAACTGCACATTATGGAGCTGCCGAGTCTAGAGGATATGCTTTATAATCAAAAGTCTCTGTACCATAGCTGAGCTACTAGATGATCTGCTGACCTACTAATACCTACGTAAGATGGGTAATAAATAAAACCGTCTTTGTGTAATAATTTATGCTGGTATATTCTCTCGGTCTATCAAAACATCAAAATTGTCTTACAACCACCCATAGCGCGTGTTTTGGTTAGGCAACGCCATCTATCGAGCTATGAGACAACTATCAACATTAAAATAGTAAACTTAACATTAATTAAGTATAATATTGAACATACACTGTTAGTCGATTTGTGATTTATTGAAATAAAAATTAATAAACAATAAATCCTTATGCGTTAGAAGTGATCCAAGATGTGTAGCGAGACACACGAACGTTGACCCTAGGAAAATCGGCTTGAGCACAGCCAATCCCAAAAGAGCACACACCAACAACCACACCACTGTGATAAAGAGGACCACCAGAGTCACCCTGGCACTGATCCCGACCTCCAGATGGCCAGCCAGAGCACATCATATTGTCCGTGATAGTGTAACCACGGCTCGCGTAGTTATTTCTGCAAATCGTCTGATTGATAATCACTAGCTGAACGTGTTGAAGCTGCTCGGATCCAGCATGTGTACCATGCTGAAATGAAAATGATAAGCGTTTTACTTCAAACGAAGTTAATATAATGGCAATTTTCGTGAACACAATATTGATATACTCACGGATAAGTCACCCCATCCAGCAGCCCAGACAGCTTGGTTGTCAGCAACAATGTAATTGGAGCCAGCGATAGGAGCAGCCCGTACATTATCATTAAAGGAGATAGCGAAAAGAGAGCGTACAATAGAGATATCGCTGTCCATAGTTCTAGGGTTATATGAGTCATGCACAACAATCTCAATTACAAAATAAGCGTCACCACCAGTGTTGGCCCAGGTGGAGCCTACACGGATTCGCCATCTGCCAATTGGATCACCCCTGCAAAGGCAATTAAAAGCGTTCTTATTAAAAATGTTGATAAAATTTAGTTAATGATCGATCAATCTCTAACTTACGCGACGCAGTGAGCAGCAGTGAGAATTGATCGGCTGTTTAAGATAATACCGCCGCATGCGTGCCAATACTGACTCCAATCCCATGAAAACAAAAGACCAGCTATAGTTGGGTACTGGTCTATCGTGGTAGCAGAACCACCCACAATTCTTTGTGGATTAGAGGGAATGGCTGATAAAATAAAAAGCGTATCCATTATCATCACATTCTGCGCAAGAATTACGGTTCTTTATCTATCAAAGTTCTATAAGAATACAAATGCAGTTATACAGTTTAACAATAACTGCAAAGTTAATGATTAACTTAGAATCTTGAATATGTTTTTTTTTTAGTGTGGAAGAGCTTTCTTCACTTACTTCATCACGAATGGGTCGGGTCGACTAGAACCGCAGCCTCACAGAACACCGGCGTATAAAAACTACAGCGTTATATTTCGCCGTGTGAGTGAGGTTATTGGAGGGGATTTAGGCATTGGAGAGGAAATCTCCGAAAATCGAATCCCCAGTCCATGGGCAGTGCCGAATTGCTTGCCATCAGGTTATGCGCCTGGTCGTTTGCGGTTTTATGACGTAAAAAACGAAAAGAAAATAATGTATCCAAATGTTTGGATAAAAAAAGATACGAATGAGTTGTACTGAACATTACCTGTAACAGCCACGATGCAAAGGGCCAACCAAACCGTCACACGCATATTTTGAGCACCTTTAGAGAAGTGTTGGAGCTTGTAGAAACATTAGTATTTATATCAAATAATGATTAATAAGCCCTCACGTCCAGAGATAATAGGTAGTATAATCAAAATATATCAATACGAATATTATATAAAAATGAGTCAGAGATATTATATTTCTACGTATGTGGGTTGCATAAAAATAGATGGCTTTTTCTTCATCGGTTTCATTTTATTTACAAAGATAAGATTGGTATTAAAATAAAAACGATAGAGAATTTTGTATGGATACTAGCCGGTCAACAATAGAGTTTCGATTGTTACTTTTGTGAGACGTCTTAAATTAATTTACAACAATTACACCGTTCATTGTTTACTGGTTTGCTCAGCTGGCTCGGTCACTGGGTAACCAACTGCCTTGCAACATACAATGGATTAGATTCCCGTACGAAACAACACTATGTGATTTACAAATGATTATTATGTGCCTGGGTACTATTTAATAATAAAAAATATAAGTAATAAACAATTGTTTATTCATTGCAATATTTAAAAAAATATTAAAAATTATGCATTGCTAGCAATCCAAGAAGCGTAGCGAGATACGCGTGCATTGACTCCAGGGAAGTTTACTTCGCCGCAACCAATACCGAAAGAGCAGACACCAACAACATTGCCGTTGTGGTAGAGAGGACCACCAGAGTCACCCTGGCACTGGTCACGCCCACCAGAGGGCCAGCCGGAGCACACCATGTTATCGGTGATAACAAATCCTCGGCTAGCGTAGTTGTTTCTACAAACACTCTGGTTTATAATCAGCAGCTGAACGTGCTGGAGGTGCTCGGAGCCAACGTTTAGATTAGGCTGAAATAAAAATAAAAAATTTTGTCTTTTAAACAATCTAAATTAAAATACAATCTGATTTAAAATATTGATTATCATCATCATCAACCTATAAGTGCAAACTGCTCAGCAAAGGCCTCTTCTCACACGGAAAACGCTTGCGCATTCATCACCATCCTTGCTCAAGGCGGATTGGCCATTCCAAACTTATAATTTCTTATTATAAGTCCAAATTTCCCACACGATGTTCTCTTTCACCGTATGTCATGTGTGGTGCCTACAAAATCATAGAAAGAACATACTGCTCGACAAAAGTCACTATTGTATTTGCCAGGTTTCGAACCTTCATGCATAAGAAGCGAGTGCCTTAACCTCTCGGCCACGACAACGTGAATATATCGACTCAAAAATTCAAAAGGACTTACGTAAATATCACCCCATCCAGCAGCCCAGACTGGTTGATTGTTGCCAAGGTTGTAATTCGATCCTGCAATGGAAGCAGCGCTGACATTGTTGTTGAAAGAGAAGACGGAGGCGGAGCGAAGGATAGCAATATCGTTGTCCAGACTTCTAGAGTTAAATGAGCCGTGAATGATGATCTGGGCGACGTTATGTACGACGCCACCGCTGTTGGCCCAGGACGACCCAATACGAATGCGCCATCTGTTAGCCGCGTCACCACTGCAATAATATAAAAACAATTTAAAAAATACAACCCCATACTAATTAATGAAAAAAATAAAATAGCTTCCTTACGAAACGCAGTGAGCGGCGGTAAGGATGGAACGGTTGTTCAAGATGGAACCTCCACACGTCTGTAGGTAAGCGCTCCAGTTCCGTGAGTACAGAAGAGACGCGATGCTAGGATATTGGTCAATATTAGCCAGGCTCCCGCCAATAATCCTTCCGGGATTTGACGGGACAGCTGTAAAAAATATTAGTTTATTAAAAACTGCACAAACCCAAATCAAAAATCCGTGGCTAAAACTCTTCGTGCTCTTTGTAAACAGCTGCTCCGAAAATACGTGTTAAATCAGTGCACTATGTTAGATTTTATGTATGTGTAATAAAAATAGTTCTTCACGATTTTAGGAATAGTTTACACGGTACTTAAACATGTTTAATCCTAATATATTGTCACCGACTTAAATTAATTAATGTATACCCGTAACAGCCGCTAGGCAGAGAGCTAGGAGAGCGAAGGCACGCATGTTGGGTGATCCAGTGAACAAGTGTACAGGCTATTGTGTTTACTGGTATTTATACTCTGAAGTCCAGACATTTTGGTGATAGGGATGATAGGCTAAAAGATAAAAAGACACCACCTATCCTTATCATCAGACTTTAGTATGTCTTAATATAATTATAGTAATCAAAAATGAAATCTGATAGGAATTTCGTCGCGACACTTGCGCAACGTTTACTTAGTGCGTCTAGCTCGGAAACGTCGGTTCAGTTACGCACATATGTACATATTTTATTTTATATAAATAAGGTAGGTATTATTTTCAAAGGAGTTAACTATATTGACTATTGTGACTTAGTTCTAAAAAGTAATTTAAAAACGTGGTTGCTTAAGTGAAAATAAAAAATGTAATACTGATGTTTTTAAAACTTGATTTTTCGTTACTAAATTAAGTAACAGGTATTTTAAAATAAAGAAGCTAATTTGTGCTTTTTTGCATTCAGTTTTTGTAATAATAATAATGTAATTTCGTAAAAGGATTACACACAAAACAAAAATAGGTACTTCTAGCTACTTTAAGAGTAATCTTAAAGTAAACTATCCAGATCTGTTACTTATCGCACTGATGCTAACTGCGTTACAAGTGAGTCTAATGACATTAAAAAAATACAATATTTTTTAAATATATATATTTGTTTCACAATTTAATTTGCATGTAAAAAGATAAATCATATCTTAGGCCCAGCAATTTCACTTACAACTAAATTGTAATTATTCTTTATTACCTTAACATGTCACTTATGTAAAATTTTATGTATAAAATATATTTGAAACAACAGTCCCAAATAGACTTAATACAAATGCAAACAAAAGCAATATGACTTTATAAAATAGAAAAAGTAAAGAAAATTGTGTAGTGTATGACACAACCACTATATTTTGATGCTTCGATGCTTTGTATAGTGTTACACTGTTCCCACATAATAGAAGCGACTAAATGATGAGAAGAATGATGTAATAAAAATGAATTGTGAAATTGATTGTAAAAAAGTAACCATGGAAGTTCTTGCTCGTTTTTTTTCATTGAAATCTACACTTCGGAACGAGCAAATAGCTTCATTAGAGGACAGACTGACACATAAAGTTAACTTTTGCTATTAATTTTTTGTTTGGCGTTTCATAGTGCTTATAGTGGTCTATTTCAAATAAATAATTTGACTCTGACTTTGAGTTGGATGACCAAATAAGTTGCGAGTGAAATGAGATCTGGAATTTATGGGTGTGTGCTTTAAAAGAAATGTCTCATTATGGTTTATCTACCAATCCTATACGAAAATATTAATCGATGAAAATCAAATAAGTAGTCAAAAAATACAACTTATCTAAATAATCATAGAAACTACATATAACTCGGAAAAAGTCACATTGATACAATTGGTCTTTACAACAACAAAATTTGTGAATGCTTTTTCGGATTCAATATTCTTTGTTTTTTTATCACACCTAGTTTTGACTTTAGTGAGGTGAGTATACGTTACCAAATATTGTTATAACCTGGACTTATAATTTTTAAATATAAATTTGAAATCAACAACCCGCATTTTAATGCTCTAACCTTCTCCGTATAAAAAGAGGCCTTTACTAAGCAGTGGGCATTTATAGGCAAATGATGAAAATGATAAATTAAAAAGAACGTCAAAAATCTGTGTTATAAAAGAAAATATCTGTCCTCTTGTTAATTTAAAACTCTTTGTCATTTTTTATATCTTAAATCGGCTAACGATCAGACCATGGACCAAAGACCAAAGAAGTTGCTACAAGTGCGAAGCATGCCTCTTGTGGAGTTAATAGGGATTTAAGAATAAGGGATTTGAGGATTGATAATGAGGGTAGAACGAGGATTGGGCCTCCAGTAACCTCACTCAGATGGCTAAGCCCGACGTAAGTGGGGTCTCCCATACTCCAAAAATGTCGTAGAAGGTCTGAAGAATGAGGAGCAGTACTTGTAGAGGCGAAACGCTTGCGTCTTGCGTTGTGTTAATAAATCTTCGATTCCCTAACCAACATGCAATTACAAACCATAAGCCGAATATTCCGCTTGTTTGCAGCCATTTTTACCCGACTAAAAGCAAAAGGACGGTTATGATTTTGACAGGCTATGATAGGCACGTATGTATGAATGTTTATCTGTTCCCTCGTAACTTATAAACTACTTATAGAATAAATAACATATCATTAGAAAGCTATTTGGGGTATCACAAAATCTAATGTGGCGTCCTCTAGTGGACAAAAAATACAAAGTAAATAAAAAAATTAAGTTATTATCTGAAAGCGTTTTACTTGTAAATTTTATATTTGCAGCAGTTGCTTGTAACTTTACCTGTATTCATTGGCTGATTGCATATAATTCACATCTTCTCATTCATAGCTTCTGCTACTTATCATTAGTTCATCAATTTAACTTTTGTTTATATTATGCGCCACAAATACACTTTAACACCGAAATAGTACAAATGAAAGTGTAAACCAAGATTTTCAGAATACTGAAAAGCGTAGTCACGTGTTGTCAAAGTCTTACGGTAGGTAGGTAAATGTAACGTGTGTCTACACGCCTTTCAGTACCTATTCTAAAAATCTTGTTTTATACTTTTACAGTGTCGTAACCGTAGTTGGGTTTTAGTTTTTATATTTTTTATATAAAAGTAAAACCGTCACTGTAGTTCCTATTGTGGTCTACTTTTACTGACGTAGTCTGGAATGGTGCTCGGTATATTATAGAAATTCCTATCATCATCAGAAGCCAATATATTTAGGGGTAATCTTTGGAACCGCTCGTCAGGATTTCCAAAATTCTTGCACTGCTCGATAGCTAGAATGTTCATAACTGCTATACATACGCTTATAAAAATCACACTACGATCGAAAAGAGCAGCGGTTGAAACCGCGCAAGAATAGCTACTCCTCTATATCACGGGACTTGAATATAGACTAAACAGTAAAATGTGGATGATATTTTGCATAATAAGTGCGATTGCGTGTCAAGTCAAGTCCAAAATCATTTATGCCAATTAGACCTTTACAGGCACTTTTGAACGTCAAACAAAAATATTGAAGATATAGTGCCAGTCTGTCGGTGAGTCCTCTTAGTGAAGCTATTTGCTCGTTCCAAAGTGTAGATTTCGATTCTGTTCTTTGGGAATAAATTTTACATTTCAATTTTTTTTACTAATTTTCCTGTATCACGCCCCCTAATTAGGTACTTACCTACAACAACATGATAATACGCCAGACGTCTGGGAAATGTTGACGTAAAATATTTTTTTATCTTATCAATTCAGTATTTAACGTTACAGAAAAAGAAAACATACAAATAATCGAAACAAAAAGTGTTAGGCTCTTTTTAAAATACACATAATATTATGTCGTAATATAAAAGCCCAATATATTTTTCTGAAGGACAATGGTCAAAATTATATAAACCCTTATCTACACTACCAATTTGAGCGATGCCAATCGAAGGCATTTAGCCACTTACTTGATCATTATTCGTTTATTGGGTGACAGTAATTGTTAATTTTTAATATATGTTTTTTTTTTAACATTGCCACAGCTTTTTCCTCTACCCGATAATAATAGGGAAGAAGTGCACCAACTGAAATTTTGACAGCTAAGTTTGTTATTAAATACAATGTAGGTTATTAGCGAATGCCCCTGCTATAAATATACTATACTAGGACAACTACCTGCTATAAATATACTATAATGAACGACATTCAGCCGAGGTTGCAAAGCAAGCACAGTAAGTTACCGCGACTTTGACATGGAGAAACGGGTTGGTTTTTAGTCAGTTACATTCTCTCTTACCACTTGCAAGATGGGAACGTCATTGAATAAAATATAAAAAACCTTAAAAACGATGCTTTCAAATTTAGGTTGTTACTGAATGTTTGTTTTAAAACCATTCTTCTTGTGCGTGTTGGTAACATTCCACTAAAGAACATGCAGCAGTGCTTTAGCTAAAACTGATCCTTTAAACTACAATTCTAAACCTTTTCTCGTATGCGTAGAGGTCATTATAAACTATTCTCATAGACTCTCGACGGGCCAGGAGTATAGTGTAATGTAAGGTAAATTTACTCAATATGAAAAAGAACAACTATATCAAATACCCAATAAGCTCACTAGCTTTTTATTATGCAATAATCCTACATTTACGATAGACATATAAATAAATAGAAAGCGTTTTTAAAGTGTTTGTTCAAATGCCATTACCTATACTGCCTTTATAATCTCATTTATTACGAGCTTGAAACCATTATATTATAAATCTACTATAACATAAAATTATAACCTGATAATAAAATACAAAAAAATATATTATAATTATTCAATAAAAAGAAATAACTGCTTTAAAATGATTTATTGATCGTAAAATTACGTATAAATCAAAAATACTTAAAATAATTATGCGTTAGCTTCAATCCAATTGGCGAACCTAGACACACGAGCATTGACTCCAGGGAAAGCAGCTTGACCGCATCCAATACCGAAAGAGCAGACACCAACAACGATGCCATTGTGGTAGAGAGGGCCACCAGAGTCACCCTGGCACTGGTCGCGACCACCGTTGGGCCAGCCAGAGCATATCATGTTGTCGGTGATGACGATATTGCCGGCAGCATAATTGTTTCTGCAAATGTTTTGGTTGATAACCTGGAGCTGGACGTGACGAAGCTGCTCAGAACCGGCATGGGAACCTTGCTGAAATTTTTATTTTTTATTATTAGCTTTATATCAACTTCAGTTTTCATATGCTTTTATTTGCATACCATGATATTACAAAGATGTTAAGGGCTTAAAGCTAGGCACATATGGACACTGATAGAGCACAGCAAAAGAAGGCATAAATAAGTTTAATAACATTATAATTTGGTACAATAGCAGGAATTTCATATCTATTAGGTATTTTAAAAAAATCGTCTCTTTTTTTGTCTAGATATTCATTAACGCCATTGCAGAATTTGCGTAGAAGTTTTTTCAGTTTGGTTACAAATATAATTATGTGACTTTATATAATATTTATTTTTAATTTAGAATATTTAACTTTGTGAAATGTTGTTTGCAACTTTCCGTTTGTTCTATATTAACTAATGTTCGAATTTTTTTTTTTGTTTGAATTGAATAGTGCTGTTGCGTTGGGGCCTATTTGCCACATTATTTATTTATTTATTTATTTAACCTTTATGCACAACGTACATAGGTGGGCTTAATGCCAACAAGCATTCTTGCTAGCCAACCTTTGGGTGATGCAGTAAGAATATGGTCGGTGCAAAAAAGTACAAGAGCTAACTTAAAAAAAAGTAATTAATTAAAATGCATAATACAATGAATATAATATAATAATATAAATACAAACATAATAATATGCATGAATACACATATAATACATAAGTAATACATAATACATATAAAATACATAAGTAAAATAATATATATTATATAACCATATACTACATACATAAGTATAGGATATTCACATAAAGTAGGATAGTTTATAATAAAGAAGATTTTGCCAACTTTCCCTCCAAGATACACTTGCGAACTCCAGCTTTGAAAGACTGCTTGTTCTTTGCTTTCCTGATTTCCAAGGGCAGGCCATTCCATAAAAGGATAGATTGGATGTGAAATGATGAGTGAACAGTGTCAGAGCTATGAGAAGGACAGTGAAGAAGAAGATTGTTAGAAGAACGAAGATTTCTAGAATGTCCCAAGTATCGGTACTGAAAATAAGGTGTTAGGTACAAAGGAGGAGTAGGAGAGTTAAGGATAGAGTAAAGGGTTGTTAATACGCGAAGATCTCTTCTCTGTCGGATGGACATCCACTTCAACTCAGACCTGTGCCCAGAAACATGATCGTACTTACGCAAGTTGAAGACAAATCTTATGCAGTTGTTCATAAGACGATCAAGCTTATTAAGCAAGTCCGAATTGAGATCGCAATAGCACACGTCACCATAGTCGATTATGGGGAAAATTAGGGACTGCACAAGCATTGCCTTGGTCCTGGATGGAAGGAAATTTCGCAATCGATTTAAATGACGCAAGGTGTTAGTAACACGTTGGCAAACGCTGGAGACCTGTGACTGCCAGCCTAGCGTAGCATCAAGGTGCAGACCAAGGTTCTTGATACTGGGACTGATGGTAATAACAGTGCCGTCCATTATTATTGGGGGAAGATGTGCGACCACCACCCTACTCATCATACGTGGACCACCAACAACAATGGCCTGGCATTTTGTGGGATTTACTGCCACACCAAACTGGTTAGACCAACGGCTTACAGCTTCCAGATCTTTATTAAGTTTTTCGATTGCCGAGGACAAGTCCTCGGGTCGAGCTTGAGTGTAAATCTGAAGGTCATCAGCATAAAGATGATACGTACACTGAAGATTGTGAGTAATAAGGTTAATAAAGATAGAAAATAGTAGGGGAGAGAGAATACCGCCTTGAGGTACACCAGCTGCAAGCTCACGCCAATTCGACAGAGTCTCATCATTGCGAACAGCCTGCTGGCGCCCACGAAGATAAGACTGGAACCATTCCAGTGTCCCAGGCGAAATCATAAGATGGGAAAGGATGGATTCAAGGATGTCATGACTGACGGCATTGAAAGCATTGGAGAAGTCTATAAGGACCATGGCAGTAACTTTGGTATCCCGAATTCCCTCTCTAATGTCGCCAGTCACTTTTAAAAGTGCTGTAGCAGTGCTGTGCCCAGGCCTAAACCCAGATTGCAGGGGACTTATGAGGTTATAGCGGTGAATGAAACCAGATAGTTGCTTATGGGCACAAGCTTCCAGCACTTTGGAGAGGAAAGGAAGAATTGAGATTGGTCGAAAGTGTGAAGGGAGAGAAGGATTAGTAATCTTAGGAAGGGGGCGGACGTAAGCGTAACGCCATAAGGAAGGGAACTGTCCTGAGTATAACGAAAAGTTTATGATGTGGGTAATCGATGGTAGGATATACTCAAGGATCGGGATGACCATACTTCGACTAATATCGTCGTAGCCAACAGCCTTGGATTTTATTGATAGGATAATCTTTTTGACATCGCCCGGGGAGACTGGAGAAAACTTAAAGGAGCCAGTATTGCCACGCGGAAGACCAGCGATGAAGTCTACCGTCTGACGAATGGTTTGACAATCCAAACTGGCAATAGTGGTGAAATGGGTATTGATATCATCCAAACCAATCGTGTTAGGCAGCTCCACATAATCTTGTTTACCGATACCCAGCGTTCCGAGGAACTTCCAGATATCGGCCGCAGAGCAAGCTGTAATATTTTCAAGAATGTGCCGGCGTTTAGCGTTCCGTATCATCTGGTTACACCGATTTCTGGCCGATTTGTAAAGCATCCAATTCTCCTCAGACCGATCACGCTTATATTTTCTAAAAGCCCGGTTTCTTCGTCTCATGGCCATACGCACAATTCTCGACATCCATGGAGCTGGTGGACGCTTGACTTTTATAGACTTGATTGGCGCGTGTATGTCATAAAGGTCTTTTAGCATTCGGTTAAAAATTGTTACTTTGTCATCGATAGAGGAGGCATTAGAAATCTGAGACTCCCACTCAAGCCCGGCAGCATCACCTCGCAATCCTTCGACATCCATTTTAGCAAAACAACGCATGCGCAGAACCCTTGGAGTAGGCTTTGGAGGTTTAAGACGATAGGACAAATAAATTAAGTCGTGGTGAGAAAAACAAGGAGCAGGATATTGGCCATGAGAGGCGGTGTGAGATGGACTAGAGGTAAGGATCAAGTCAAGCCAAGTATCTTCACCTGAAGAGTTGCAGTGAGTTGCCTGGAGTGGTAGGATATGAAGACTGACAGACTCGAGGATGCTACGAAGTTGACGGGAACGATGGGTACAATTCAAAAGGTTTGTGTTGAAATCGCCCATGATGACGTGATGCTCATACTCAGATCCAATAGATTCCAAAACCGACTCAAGATCGGAGAAGTAATCCACTGCAGGTGGACAGTAGACTACACCAATAAGCGTTCTGACTCCAGTTATACATACCTCGAGAAAAAGATATTCGGCAGATGCACAGTACTCAGAAGGTGATGTAGCTAGAATTTTATAGGGAAAATTACTGCGCAAATAAATAGCAACACCGCCACCACCCTTTCCGAGCCTATCGTTTCTAATTAGTACGAACCCTGGGAGAGAGTAACTTGTGGAAGGAAGATGAGGTTTCAACCAACTCTCGGAAACCAGGACCGCATGAACATTGCCGTCAGAGAAAGCTTCATATAGGTCATTATAATGGCTGGGCACACTCTGGGCATTAATATGGCAAATATTTATCAAGTGTCGATTTGAGTTACCGAACGTACGACGCAAGCAATCACCGAGTGTCTCAGTGCAAGAGGAGAAGCTTGCGTTCGATAAGTCAGTGGAATTGTTAGCAGAAAGAAATGATTCTTCATCTGAATGCATTAAAACATATGAATATATAGATAAACAAAATAAATATATATTTATAGATATAATAAAAAAATAGATATATTATAATATTTATGAATATAGTTATTAAGTGGTGCAGTACTTACTCAACTATCAGTACCTCACTGCACCACCCGCCAGCAGCACCAGTTCACAATTAAATTAAAAATGAAGAAAAAAAAAATAAAAAAAACATAAACAATCTTAAACAACACAAAATGGTAAATAATATGAAAATTACAAAACAAAATTACGTGCAACGGAACGACAAAAAAAAAAAAAACGCGCAACAATCAAGAATTGAAAATGTCACATATTATCACGATATGCAAATTGCTGTCACTGTCACGCATGATTAATAAACAGTGTGACATGACAGCAAAAACAAACGAGTTATAACACTTGAATACCGCACATTCCATTCAGATTTCTATTAAATTAATTAATATTACCCACATAAGTTTAATTTTGACGTAAGGAATTGTGGGTGATTAAATAAACAATATGAAAGACTTAAGTACTACCTATAAAATGTAAAGTGGGTCAACGTGAATAAAATTGAAAGAAAAATAAGAAATAAGATTAACAAAGTAAAAGATGTGAAAAATTATAGCAAGTACCTACATACCATTTATCAATGGTTGTGTGAGTGGTGATCCATAAAAATCTGCTTATGTAAAGTAAAGTAAGTATTTACTACCACAAATCCGTGCATTAATTGGGAGTTTAATGGCGATGGACACAACAATAAATGTTCATTATTTGTGGGCTTTCCTAGCTGCAACTGTTGATTCTCTGGCCACCTTAGGGTACCTTACTAGAAGTGGGTCAAGCTCGTCACTAGAAGAAATTCTATGCCGGCTGCCATCCGAGGTCCTTATCACTATGACCCCATCCTGTGTCCAGCATGCCCGCATTCCGAAATGCAGCCGTGCTTTGCTAAACACTGACTGCCTGGTTCTAGTCAGGAACTCTTTAATGGCTATTGAAGAGCCCTTAAGTCCTTGCTTAGCCCTCCATACGGCAGATTTTTGATCCACTTTCATAAATCTCACCAAAATAGGCCGTGCTCGGTCCTTGCTGGGTGCACCAAGTCGATGGCACTGAGTAATGTGGTCCATTGTGATGTCTTTCAAGGCTAATTTGGAATGAAGTTTCTCCACAATAAATGCTTTACAGTCTACTTCATTTTCAGAAATGCCAGTAAAGATTAATGCCTTACGACGACTTCTCATGTCGAGGCTATCCACTATTTTGGAGAAATCCTGGATTTGGCTCCGCAGAAGACTCAGCATACCAAACACCAGCTCTCGGAAGCAGCGAAATTCCTCTGCGAGCTTGGCAATAGTGTTTGCCTTAGGAAGACTTGCTGTCTGGAGCTGGGACTCCATCTCACCCATCTTGTTCAAGATTAGCTCCTCCAAGTTCTTCTGGCTGGCTTGTACATCAGCAAGTTGCGAAAGTGACATTATTGCAGTGTTTTTTTAAAAAAAATACAGTAGTGTTTCTAGTGCAAGTGGCTGGCAGGTGGTGATGTAAAAGTGCTAGTGCTACATAAACACTTACACGATCAACAAATAATAATCTTATAAATTACTGCACTTTTTAAATTCCTAATTTGTTAATTATTAATAAATACTTTTTAATATTTTGGAGCTACGTAAAACGCGTCGTAACTGTTTCGCACCTACCGCCGAAAAAAACAGCAACATTATAATGCCGTAGTTTAGTTATGCATGCGTATCGGCGTAGTAGGTAGTTAGAGCCGTTTTTAAGGCTGTTGTCTTCTTAAATTCACGTAGAGCATAGATTTTTTTTTTTTGATTATTTTGATTACATTTTTTGAACTTGTGATTTCCCTCAAAAGGATAGGACTCTTCTCACTTGGATAAGGTTAGACAGCACGCTTGCTTAAGGAGGATTGGTCATTTCAAACTTATAACTAGATATTATAGGGCCAAATTTCCTCACTATGTTTTCCTTCTCCGTACTTCTGTGGTGTCGAAATAATCTTAGAAAGTACAAATAACTCAGAAAAGTCACATTGGTACTTGCCAGGTTTCTAACCATTCATACATGAGAAGCGGTTGACAACATTCAGGCAATCCGGCGTTGGAAGTTTAATAAAAAAAATAAAAACTACTCACGAAAGTGTCACCCCATCCTGCAGCCCAGACAGCTTGGTTGTCAGATGGGAAGTAGGCGGGACCAGCGATACTAGCAAAGTTAGCATTGGTGCCAAAGATGAAACCGGCGGAGGAGCGCAGTAGAGAAATGTCATTATCATAGGTTCTTGGGTTATATGAGCCATGGACAATGTTCTGAGAGACGGTGTAAACGGTACCACCGCTGTTTGCCCAAGATGAGCCGATACGAATTCGCCATCTGTTAGGTGCATCACCACTGCAAAAACACAATTTTAATTAAAAAAGACATGTTAAACATTTTCTATGATAAATGAAGACGTGGATTTTTTTACTTACATAGTGCAGTGAGCAGCAGTAAGGATGGAACGGTTGTTTATAATGGTACCTCCGCAAGATTGCCAGTATGAGCTCAAGTTCCATGAGTATAGAAGAGCGGCAATGCTAGGGTATTGGCTAATAGTAGCTAAGCTACCACCAACTATCCTTTGCGATTTTGATGGGACGGCTGAAATTAAATGTTTATAGTAATTATTGTGATTGTGAATGTTAAGTATTGATCACTGCTCAAAGTCGCGACTGCAAATAAAAACCGTGCCGTAACCGTGAATCAGTCATTCCAAGTAATCAAAAGACTACTTCGGAATACCATGTAAAACTGTCGCACATTATAAGAACTTGCTTACTGGATCCAATTCTGAGTGTGATAAAGGTAGAAAATACCTCTCACTCTACTCAGACCAAGAGAAGTCATTGAATGATTGATGGCAGGTTTTTAAAATACTCTTAAAATATTGTTACAGGGGACGCAAAATTGGGAAACGTGAATCTTTTAATGGTTATTTTTACAAAAGTAATAACATTAATAATTATGATAAAATGACAGATTTAATGCATACCTGTTACAGCCGCGAAGCAAAGGGCCAATACAACCAAGAAACGCATGTTGTGGATTCCAATGTCGAAGTGTATTTGATTTCTGTAATTGCAGGTTTTTATACTCAACGGTAGTGACTAGCCAATAATAGGTAAAAAGATTAAAGACATCACTTTAATATATTATCATTTGACTATAATTATATCTAAATACAGGGTGTCCCAAACTCAACGTCAAGCCGAAGGTGGGCGACAAAATTGATCATAAGCATTACGAGGAAAGTCTGAAAAAAAACTATCCCACCCTGTTCCGAAGTTATGGGCATTTTAAGAAAAATTTATGAAACTGTACCATTTTTCGGTTATTTTTGTTCTTCATTTTTATTTGTGTTCATTTGAAATACCTCGAAGATATGCCCGACTAATAAGTAGATCTTTTTTAAGAAGATGTAGGGCTTGTAAAAAACTTATAACAAATAATAGTCTCAATTCTTGGCAACTTGGGGCAATTGTGCGGGTATTCTCTATTGGAATTCTAGAAATGTTATTCAGGATTACGTTTCCAGGGTTCAAATGAACAAATATAAAAAAGCCGAAAACCAAACCTTAAAATGCCCATAATTTCCGAACTAGGTTTGATAGTTTTTTTTTTCAGATTTTCTCGTAACGGTTATGATCAATCTTCTCACACTGCTTTGGCTTGATGTTGAGTTTTGGGACATCCTGTATATAACCGTTATTAATCAATAATCACTAAGAGGTATAAAATTAAACCTGATATGACTTTTGTTGCGACAGAATGTATCACACATTTTTTAATTCAGTTGAGTACTTGTGACGCATTTTTGTGTGTAAAATTATTTTCAGTCTAAGTACTTAGATGTGTGTAACATTAAAACACGCGGATACTGTAGTGCCCACTGTGTCTTGAACCGTTTAGTTATAGTGATTTTTTAACTGAAAAATAACAAAACGGTTGTTAATATTTCCTGACGGTTACTGCAAAGTTACAAGGTTATATTTTAGATTAAAAATACAGTCAAAGTATAGTATTAACGTGAAGTAAAAATGTTAGCTTCATGATTTGATGTTATAATTAACATTTATTCTTTATCATAAAAGTGTCTTAAAAGCTTATTCTTTTCATGAATATCACCGACCCTATTTCCGCAAACAAGTCTTCTCCAATAGTAGGCCACTTGCCTTGATTTTTACTTCTATCAGCCACTTCGTGAATTATTATTTTTTGCATGTTCAATTTTTTCTTGCATAAGTTGAAAAGAACTTCAGAAGGCAACAAACTTTTTGGCAAGAAAGAATAGAAAGCGTCTTCTTGAATGTTTCTAATATTATTAAAAAAATTTCTTCACTTTCTTCTGCACCTCACAATTGGACCTGACATCTCAGATATGAATCAGGTCCAATTGTCAGACGAACCCTGGGGTTCCCAGGGTGCAACGCTTATGACGGTGCCTCTTATGAGCTGAACTGTGCCACCGTACGGTTTCTCTGTGGATACTAAATGTACACAAACTTCGCTTTGCTCCACCTTAAGATGCTGTTGGCAGGATTATTGCCTTATTAGGCCTGTTTAGAAGCTCACACTAACATGCTCAAGAAATAGTTTAACGCTGCTACATAACAACACATGTATATTATCAAAAACCTAACTTCTAATTAATTTAAGTGATATTAATAATAATGAATAACATTTTCCTTAACGATAACTGGATTTAACTGAACAACCAGTGATACCCGCACTATAGAATTAAAATGGCCAGATATGAAATGCCTACATAGTAGTATACTCCTATTATTAAATAAAAAGGTTTTTTTTTATTAAAATCAAATCATCATCATCATCTTCATCATCATCATCTTCATCATCATCATCATGAGCAGCATCGTCTTCATCATCATCAGCCCATAAGTGCCCACTGCTGAGCAAAGGCCTCTTCTCACACGGATAATGTTTGAGCATTAATCACCAGGCTTGTTCAGTGCGGGTTGGCGATTTCAAGCTTATAATTAGAAATTATAAGTCCAGGTTTCCTCACGATGTTTACCTTCACTGTATGTCCGTTGTGTCTAAATAATCATAGTAAGTACATTTAACTCGTAAAAAGTCACATTGGTACTTGCCAGGTTTCGAACCTACACCCTCATGCATGAGAAGCGGGCTTCTCTACCTCCGGGCCACCACGACGTCGTGGTCGTCGTCGTAAAATTGAATAGAAATCAAATTTATCATAAAATAAAACTGTAGGTCAGTTTTAACATTTAATGATTTTTTAACATTTTCTAATTAATGATAGCCATAATTGTTCAATGCCAGACAGTGTTAGTATGGTTGCAACCCTCTGCCGGACACACTGATATAATTTATAGTATATCAGGATCTATTTATTACATGACACTTCTAACATATGTCAAAGATTTTTGTAATGTGATTTTGGTTGTAATTGTTACCTCTGAGAAGGGTGGCAGTGAAAATGTGTGTGTAGTTGTTAGGTATGTAGAAATACCGGATACTATTTTTTTTTCAATTTATATTTTGTTGCTTCTTTAATTTTGAAAGTCTAGTACCTATAGTTTAACGCTGCTTCATAATAATATGTATATTATCAAAAACCTACCTACTAATTAGTTTAAGTGATATTAATAATAATGTTAATTTTCCTTGACGATAACTGGATTGAACTGAACAGCCAGTGATACACGCACTGTAGAATCAGATACGAAATACCTATACTGTTATTCAGTAAGGAAGATTTTTGTTAAAATTAAATATAAATACTTTTTTCAAATTTATCATAAAATAAAACTGAACTTTTCTTTATTTTATTTATAATATCTAATAATTAAAAAAAGTCATTGTTTAGTGCCAGATAGTAAGTATGGTTGCAACCCTCTGCCGGACACAATCAACCTAAATTTTATAAATATTTTAAGGGGCCTATTTATCTTTATAAACATAATTACTAGACAGTTTCGACGTTTTGTTCTATCAGCGTGCCTGACGCATTTAAAGTGTATAGTTATTGGAAAAACAACGGTATAGTAACTAGTGCGAATGAGACAGCTGTTAGAAGTAGTGGCCTATGTTTGCCGTGGATAGTTCCACTTCAAAATACCAAAAGTTTTTTATCAAAGTGCTAAATTTTGTACACTTTTGTTGTGTACCTGTTACGTGTCAAATCTACCGATTCTTCATGGGCTTCATGGATGTTGAATTTTTTTACATGGACTAGGGACACACATAGAAAATCTTACAGCTTAATTTAAAATTCGAAGCTATGGCAACCACGGGCTCTTTTTCTAAGATATACGTGTAATATGTATATACATATATACGTGCGAAACCATAATGTACCTAATATAGCTAGTACTCAACTTTTGTTTTTTTTTTTGAATTATTAAAAAACTATGTCAACTATTTCATCATTTACAGCCCATAATAATCCACCGTGAGTGATGCAGGAGAGTTATGTAGACTCATAGTGGGGTATGAGTTTCTTCCGTTGTAACTGAGGATCTGTCTGACCTCTAAATGAACTCACAGACATTTTATGAACGAAATTTTGCACTACTAGGTACGACTACAAGCTTTGCTATACCATGGTTTTTTTTCTCAAATAGTGTTTTTATATTAGGTTTTTTTTCAATTCCCCTCATTTCTATTTATCTAGTACGGATATTTAGCGATATGTTAAGAAGTTAAATAAATTTTGTGAGGAAGTTAGTAATTGTGTACTTACTCGCATTGCGCGAACCTACAACAGAAACTTCTCTCAGCTTGATGTGTTTAACTGCACAAAACCTAGTTTTAAAGCCCAAGTTAAAAAGCTTATAATTGACATAGACAAGCAGCAGGCAACTTTGTTCCATTCACCATAAAGTATTTACTATGTTATTTCATATTTTTATTAATTCCTTTTCATTACAAGTAGTATATTTAACTTTCAATTCTATGTATATTAAGACTTTATATTTTAATATTGTTTAAAATCCGTTCACATGGTAAACGCAAATTAAGTTAAGCAGGGAAACCTATTATTAGCCTTACTAAACTGTAATATCTTTATTTGTATTATACCACATGTATCGCTGTTGGTTTTCTAAATAAATAAAATAAGTTGCTCAGTGACTACTCCTTCTTAAATAAGGTCAAAGCACAAGTCCAGCCGTGTGTGGAGTACTAAAGCCCAATGTGGGCTGGAGCACAGGCGTAGAATATCCAGCCTTTTTTTGAGAGTGTGCGCGGTATCTACACGAATTGATTCTTCCATCATCTTTCTATTATCGGGCACCACGGCGTACGGCGGGTATCATATTATCTACCCTTATATTGTTGAGACCTTGAGACCTCTACCATCCGGTCTAGCGTTTCGCTTCGTCGTTCATACCACGCATATCTAAGGATTGGAAAAGCTTGCCTGCAACGGTCTTCCCGTCCAGTAATGATTTGGGTGTTTACATGGCTAGAGTGAATAGGGTCTTAATTAAACTAGTGCGCATAACAATCAACGATTGCATTACTGCTTATCATCAGGTGCGATTGCAGTCAAGCAGTTTTCTTTTTATAAGGAAAATTAAAAATAGAAACTCATTGTATATTTATATTGGAGGTGGAATCCGTGATATAATCTTCAGATACTGATTGATTAAAATCAGGTAATTAGAGTTACTACCTATACCTTCAAGGTACAGATAAAATTGAATAACAAACATCCATGCCTATTGCGGATGCGTTGATGTGTTATTTTATCATCAGTTACAGATTAATGGGCTGGCAACATTACTTCAATGGGAGATTGGCACTGGCAATATTTATCTCGAATTGCGATCAAGCAACAATATATGTTTAAATTCTAGCAATTTATTATTTTATGGAATAGGTCGGCAAACTAGCAGACGGTTTACCTGATGGCGCCATCCATGGACACCCGCAATGGAGGAGTTACGAGTGCGTTGCCGACCTTTTAGGGATTAGGGTTTTGGAGATTTAGGGATTGGGAGGGATCGGGGGGTGTTTCGCCGTTTGACTACCAGAGGCCCAATCCTTCCTC